TGTCGGTGATTGTGACGCCGGCTTTCCACACCTGGTAGCGCCAGTCGATGTTGATGATGCTGGAAATGATTCATACGTAACTAATAACACATTAAATGCTACTGCTGTTACAAGCTATAACTTTACGGCAGTCCTCATTTGTCACACAGACAGAACAATTATAGATAGTTATAATAATTGGTGACTCTATGGCATAGTTGCAAAGGTATTGCCCTCGGCGCCGGGGGTCATGGGTTCGATTCCCTAAACGGAACAACTGTTCGTGGGACCCAGTTAGTTCGCATCTGGGTGTTTGTCCAAGGAAAATTTATGTTTGTAAAACGTCCTTACAATATGGGATAATGTTATCCTAAAATTAGTGCAAAAAAGTTTATTAAAAAAAATAAAAGAAAAGCACAAAAAAATACTGACGTGTTACACTTCTGCTACTGGTTACACTTTGTGCAGATGCGTAGCCACCTTTTAATAAAGTGGGCCTCGGCTACCTCACACACCAGACGAAACGCAGAAGTTGTTACACTTACGTCGGTCTTCTGTGAGGTCGTGGTACTTACCCGGACGTACCTGCCCATTCGTGCAACAAAGAACACTTGCGTGGCCCCACAACCCTAATTATCCTGTAGTAAATGGATTAATAACTCACTAATGCAAGAAGCCTTTGCTGCCTTCGTCCTCCTGCGCCGAGAACGACGTCTTCTCCATCCCGAGCATATTCGAAATGGAGTCAAAATCGTATGTCTCCGAGTATTTGGTGCGCACTTTCTTCTTCACGAACTTGTCCCAGTAGTTCACCGGGAACGATCTGCGAATGAACAACTCTTGCTACAACAAGCCTTAAGTTTTGACCTTAAAAGGGTAGATGAATATTATACTTCGTCAATATAACATTTATCTACCCTTACATAGATACAGTACAGCATGACGGCACAGACTTATCTCACTGTAGTATATACACTTTACTTATAACCATTTTTTAACAATCATTATTAATTACGTCATAACAACGACAATGGAAAAGTAACGTATAGAATATGACCCTAAAGAGGTAGAAGTAGAAGGTTAATGTTATACACCTTTCACCAGCAAAGTAGTTGATGGTTCTTTACGTGGTAAAAAATAGTAAATTTTCAACGTGTTAACGTAAAATTAGAGTTTCTAATCTCTATTCAGTTGTTACACAATGAAAACGGGACACGGAGCTCTTTATATTAACCTTCATGATATAAATTTTAGCATTTGTAATGGTTCCATGGCTGGGTGATATATATCCTGTTTGAATTATAAAGTTTTCTATTAGACGTATGTTACAGATACATATTACAATTTTGCTACACAACTTGCTACTTAACACGCTGTCACAAGCTTTACTTTATTCATGTTTACGATTGTTAACTTAGTTAGAAAGAGATAAAAAGTCTTACACCTTGTCACTATTGTTACTGAACACTATCACAAGCTCTTTATTTATATATGGAGTAACATACTGTAATAGCTGTTACAGTATGTTACTCTATGGTAACAGTTACACAAATTGTCACAACATAAGTAGTATGAAATAACAATAACAGGCTGTTATTTTGTAACAGGTATTTGTCACTGTTACTTTAAAGTAACAAGAACGTAACAGGTACTTGATTTGACCTAGTATAGCTCACTCCTAGTTCTTTGTAAAGCTTTTGTTGGCTCTCCAGTTTTTTATTTCTATGCTTATTTCCCTCTGTTGTATCGTAACTGTGTGTCTATATCAAGATAAAGTTAATTTCTCTTCCTTATTATTATTTTATTTATGTTAAAGTTCATACTAACTTGGCGGATATAACAAGCTTGTCCCAATGACTCTTCAGATCGTCATCCTCGGGTTGTTCAGCAATGTAAAGGCCGTCGAACTCCAGTTTTCTTGCAATTTCTTTCTCGCGCTTGAATATGGCCAGAGGCACCTGTGGAATAATAGTAATTTGATGAACAATTATCACATGTTTACTCAGTGTTTTATGTATCACGTTATGGAGGAGGTATATACACACTCTTCTACTTTTTAACGCACTAAAAAAAAAATTAATAGCACAACTGAAAATCAGTGGCAAGATTAGGGCAATTTAAGTTTTTGTATCTCAATTTCAAATACTTTCTTGGTAATTTTTTCATTTATTTTAATATGTCCAATATTGTTTTATGTTTTGCGTAATTCCATTATTTTTTAGTATTATTAACGTTATGTATCTATTGTTACTAGAACTTGGATAAAGGTGTTTTCTTTCTTTCTTCTTTCCGATGGAAGTATAAAATATTCTCCACTTCAGATATGAAAAGGCGAAGTTGAACACGTTGTAAATCATTACAATAATTCCTAAGCTTAACACTAAGCACAAAAAAAGGCTAATGGAAATCTTTGATAAGATTTCCATTAAAATTTGGAAACAGACCTTCAGGTGGTAGTAACCGATGAGGATAGCGAGAGAGACTATCGAGTGTAGAACCGCAGCGACCTTCAATAGATGCTCCATATAGAAGAAGTCTTCATCTATGTGGACAACTTCTAAGGCGTCTTCGTCGTCACCAGCTTCGCCACTGCCTAAAACGTTGAAGTTCATACATGAAACGTGCAATTCCAATGGATTTTGGACTTTTAGCCTTTGATTATTATCTCATTGCTCATCAGTAGATGATCCCGTTCAATGTATTTCATACGATTACATACAAAAATGCTGCACTTATGATTTCATATAATTAACACGATTCACATCCAAGTTATATGTAATAATAATAATAAATATTTCAGGACACATTTTTACACAACGTTATCTAATCTAAAACTAAGAAACTCTTCTATTATGGGTACTAGATAACTGATAAACATACTTACACATACTTTTCATTAATAAACTCAGACAATATACAAGTAGTGGGGATCTAACCCATACCCTCTTATAGACGTCCGGAGTGGGAGTCGAACCCACGGCTCAGATTTTGTTAGAAATTAATGAAAGCTCTGACTCTCACGCAGCAGTTTTCGGATTAAAACAAGCGATTTTACATTGATATTTTCCACAACTTCACAAATTATATATAACGCCTTTAAATAAATAGATTTAATGGTATCTTACAATGAGTGTAGCAAAAAGAAAGTCAGCAAAGCTATTATAAATATAAACAGTTCAGGAGACATTTTTACACGTTTTCTCCTCCTAAAGTAAAAGCACCTAACTAACGCTTGTACTATGGGTACTAGATAACTGATAAACATGCTTTTTTTATAAGTCAATACATATTTATTGATAAGTAAACACCCAGGCACTAGAAAAACACTATGTTCATCACACAATATTTTTTCAGTAGTGGGGATCAAACCCACAGCCTCTGGCGCAAATGGCAGGATCACTACCCACTACACCAATGTGGTCATCAAGCGTAATTCGTACCATCGCCGCTACCAGATCCCGAACCTGAGCCGGATATTATGCTGCCCACTCCAGAACCCTCGCCGCCTTCCGCATCTAAAGTGGACACCTGCCAAACAAAATTAATATTATTAATATTATAATATATATTATTAATAAATTTATACATTACATTATTTGGAACATCAAATTCGGAATTTATGAAGAATGGAAACGGACACTTGTCGCATTATTACAACCATAACATCTATTGAATTTTGTACGTTGGAATAACGTAAATAGATTTTCAATGTCACAGACGCACCGATATCAATACAAAATTGCTATATAGAAACATAGCCAAAGATAGGTGACAGTAATCTAAAAAGATGTTGATTTTATACCAGGAAACGACCTAAACGTTTGCCACCCTCTCACGTAAATAATCTCACATAATAATAGAGAATGCCTACAGACATGATTCTACTTTTGTGTTCTTTAATGTTGAAGTAAACGCAACAAAGATCAAATAAATAAATACCCACCTTGTAGAATAGCAGAACGAAGTTGATGCAGAAAGCCAAGACGAGAGCGACGTATTTCAGGTTGTAGAAGTTGCGGGCTAAGAAGGAGACTGCACGCCTCGTGTACTGAGAGAGATCCACCTGGGATAGAGCCGACGGCGATGGTCCTTGCACCGCCTGAATTTTAAATGGAATTATAGTTAATGAACGTTTGGATTTGCGCCAAAAGTACACATTGCCGATAAAAACATTTTACGGAATTACCATCAATTCGTAAAACTAATTGCAAACAGACCAAGACCTGAAGGCACTCTACGCTCATTTGCGTAGATTGAACTGCAATAAATAATTAAAATGTTGACAGTAACTCTGGCACCCTAGGCTGTTATGAATTCGAACGAGGCAATACATTAGAATCCGTTAAAATAGTTTTATTTCAAAGATATTCATATAGATTTTCTATAAAAATATATACAGCCCTCTATAGATTTACAGGTTGTATAAACTATGATAACCTGTTTCGCTAATGCTTGTAAAATATGAAAAAAGGCCAACACATTAAGTATGAGGAATCCAGGAATATATAGCATTTTACCTTATTTACCTTACTTGGGACGTAATATTTTTTATCCTTTCCGAGCGGCATACGTATAAATGTTGTGAATATTATTTTACAATGATCGAACAAGAAGCAATAAAAATTAGTTTCGTATGAGTTATATCCATGATTCAAAAATGTTATATAAATATACTTGTGATTAACTCATCGAGTACCCTTTTAAATGGTTTTAAGAATACTGATTCAAAGTATAACATTTTTCTGTAACACAACTAAATACCAATAAGGAAATATCTTACAAAATATAATGACATTTAGACAGCCCAATAAATTTATTTTAAGTAATATGTATATGTTACTTTATCTACGTAATATTGACTTAGATCTTTGTTCTTGACTGATTTTTTCATTAATTATTCTAAAATATAATTTTAAATTGATCCCATTACAATTGCATCACAGTCAAGGCACGCCTAAACAAAAAGTATGAGTAAATACAAATAATTTTTAATTTTAACGACCATAAACTATGATTCTCACCTTTTTGCTTTCGGCTTCGATGGCGGACATCGCGGCTTGTTGGGCAGCCTGCGCTTCCATGCGTTCCTGAGCTTGCTTCTTCGCTTGTTCTCCGCTTGAAATTGAACCAGCAATGAAAGAAAAATAATTCACAGTTTTTTTAAGACGTTGAATAACGTCTAATTTCGCTGTGTAACGTAGTCGTTTTCGATGTTGCAGGAATGGGCCGGCTCACACGGGGAAGTACCAGGCGCAGAAGACCGGCATGAATAGAAGTAGGAGTATGTTATTGTGTTTAGATAAATAGTATCTAAATCAACGTCATAAGTAAAATTTATTAAAATCTACATTTTTTTTAATTAATGTTCTGAAAAAAGCAAAAAAACAGAACTATTCTGATTCTTCATAGTCAGCATGTCGAAGGTATGGATGTAGTAGAAAGGATTTTGTGGGTGGCTCTACCACACCATAATTGGTTTCTGTGATTGGAAAATGTAGTGTGATTGGGCCACGCAACAGTTCGCTGTTGCACGAATGGGCAGGTCCGTCCGGGGAAGTACCGCGAGAAGACCAGCGTGAACCACTGTGGCAACGTATCCGCAATTCTACGGGTGTTGCAAATGTCTATGGGCGGTCACTTAACATTAGGTGAACCAAGAGCTTGCTTGCCACCTTCTCATGAAAAGCTTACCCCAGGAGGTCGATTAAGGAAGGCGGTTGCTGTTCTTCCGTGTGCTCAACGCCCTCGTCTGGTGACACTTCGGCTTCCTCTCCCGAAGATGGCGTCGACGTCGATGGGGATTCGTGCGGTTTCACTTGAATCCTGGAACATATCAAATTTCAAGAATATGAACAAATTTACAAAGAATTCCAATATAAGACTGAAAATAAAACAGAAAATATAGAGATAAGGAATCATCTTCATCATTTCAGCCTATTTTAGTCTACTTTTGGACATAGGCGATAATAAATGTTTAAAAAATAACAAAGTCTGTCCAATGTAATAACACCTGGTATAACACTACTTCATTTTACAAAAGCAAGTACTAGACGCAGAAATAGGAGGAGTTCCTTGTTTCTTTCAGTAACTTTAAAGTTATAATTTGATTTAGCATCATGGCAACAATGTTGACAACTGAACTTTGCAATCATAAATTTCTTCCGGGAGATATTTTGCATACTCATAATCAAGCTGTTAGATTAACTGCAAAACTGAATTTTGATGAAACAAAAAATATTATACAAGGTGTGGTGGATTGTATGAGTAAAGAGATATGTTTTTTAGAGGTCTATGACCCCGACTTCATCGCGTTAGTTTCTACTATATGTTAGGTTAGCCTTTAAGTAATGCTAATTGAACGCACTGTCCGTTGTCTTCCTTGGTGATGTCCAAACCGAATGCGGACACTTGCATCTGCCCAGTATCATCCGCGGGCGGCAGAGCAGGTAGATGCCTCAATGGACCTACAGTTAACAGTTTTATTAATTACATTCCAACCATCGTTACGTAAAACAATATAGGGTTCGATGTTTGAAAGCAAATTGCCATGGAATGATTGAAAGAGGGATTAAAAAAAAATCTAACAAGCCAATCTACAACTGTGCAATTTCATTATAAGAAGGCAGTTTGATAAGTAGTTTACTTTTTTAATTTCTCGCACGGCTGTTTCCATAGTAGTACTTTCCGTGAACTGCCATTTAATCATAAACAACTGCAAAAATTTGAGCACGGTGCGTGGCAAACCCGTGGATTTTAATAAGAATGAAAAAAGTGATTCGTGTGATGATGAAGCATTATTTTTTGGGTAAAATACGACCATTGAAACCAAGGGAGGGGTCCAATTATCATGGCCTCTCTGTCTTCAATCGTTAAGAAGTATTTTACTGAATTATGTTGAGGTCGTACTAGCACAAATGACGTCGAACGTTCTGGTCGCCTAAAAGAAATCATCACGCCAGAAATCTTCGTTAAAATCCATGGAAGGATATTGGGCGATGGTGTATCGACAATGCGTTTGTTAACGTTGACGACACTTGGATCTATTGTAATTCTCCAAAGATCAACAAACAATACGGCAGGTTTCTATGGGAATATATACAAAAACGATATATACCTAGGATTATGTTGAGATATAAAAAGGTTTATCGCAAAAAAAAAGTTGTTGTTTCTTTTGACGACTTATCAAATTGCCCTCGTACATTTAATACTCGTACTTATACAAAAGAAATTTAAGCACTGAAATAATTTAAGGAAAAGATATCTTCAATGAAGTAAGTATTAAAAATAAATCAATGATTGCACAAAGAAGGGATATTAAATTTAGGAAGAAAACTACAATTGATTGGTAAACAGAAATATCCTAAAACAAATATCAATTTGGAAAGGGAATAATTTTAAACCAATTAAAGTTAAAAAGCTATTTACAAATTAATAAATTTAAGACACTGAAAAGTTTTAAAAGTGAGTGTATTTGTTTGTGTAAATCACATAGATGTTAAGTGTAAGCTCTGGCAACAAAAATTTTGTCCAACGCGTGGAATGTTAAAATTCTGTTATAATAATTATTGAAAAATAACAGCTTTGGCACTTTTATTACAAAACTCCACATCGAATGTTATGTTGTTAAACCGGCATTATATATCTGTTGTTTAAAACAATCGTTGTTAGGAAATTATAATTTTGGTTAGCTGTCAAAAATGTATCTCTTCAGTATCAATAACTCTATAAAGTATTCTAAACAGCATTATTTATCGTTGAAACTGAAACAAACGTAGAGAACATTTCCATTTAAATCCGAAATTACTTCCAGTTGCTCTGAAATTATTATATAGAACAATAGAATGTCTACAATTACTAGCCATATATTGAAAATTAAAAAAGGAAAAAATTACCACTGTCTGTAAAAAAAAATTGTAGGTACTCGCAAAAAAGCCGAAAGGTTAACAATGACATAAACAATCCGAAAGGCAAATCAAAAATGATCGACACAAAAAAAAATCGATTTCATTTATTAGACAACGAACAAAGCCGGTTTTCTTTTTTTTTTGAACGAACCAAACGCAGTGGACAGTACGCGGAAGGCAAAGCGCAACACGACGAGTGCCATAGTGTGGTTGCCTTACTTTGTTGGTGAGCCAGTAATCTGTGCCTCAACTGACCAATTTTTTCCTCCTCCGTGGGCTCCGGTGGTACCTCCTCCGTTTGCGGGCCCCGCATCAAACCCAACAGCACGCCGAAAATGTACCTGGTCAGAGACAACAATGTGCATAGAGCACAAAACATATTAAATTATATCTTATTATATAATAATACAAACTTTTTCTTTTAGGGTAAGCTCGCCTTTGTACGTAGATTTTCAATGTTAACTTTGTTTATGATTTTATTTTGTGTACAATAAAGATTAAATAAAGAAAGATATTTCTATTGTCTACATTTTTTATCTTTGAGGCAGCGACAGCGACTGTCAGACTATATAACACGATGTGCAAGAGTATATTGGGATATTGCTAAACTTGTTTCATAATATGTGCGGGGATTATTGAAGTTTTTATTTGTCTATTACAATTGTAATTTGATTATTAGAACATTGAGAATTTTAACAACAATTTGACATTGGCACAGTTGTGATAGCTCACAAAGCAAGCCATTAACAATAAAAAAGAAGAAGAAGAGGAGTAGAGTGATAGCTGTGAGTCAATCTGCTTTTCATTAGAAAGTTGCAAAATTTATACGGTGGTTTTATTGATATCTTGGTAATATTTTTGTGCAAGTAAAAGAATGTTAATAGAGTAATTTAGAGTTTTTTTGAGTACTTAGCAATCAAAGATGAGCATTATAAATAAGTAGGTCCAAAAATCTGTGATGAAAATAACACTTACAAATTTGTCAACTTAGGGTACTAATTTAAGAGCTGGACATACACAAAAGCTGTGTTTATAAAAGCCGTATTGTGATGGCTACGAGTGTAGCAGCAGTAAAAAAGAGGCAGGTTTTGTAAGTTCAGGTAAAAATAAATTGCGAAGTTTCCTATGAGGTAGTTAGAATGCAGCTTGAAATAAAATAAGCCCACTACGACGACAAACGACGATGACAATCTAGTTAAACAATAGGTATTTATTACTACCTGCATTCAATTTTAAATACATATGATAATACAAAAAACATTCCAAATAGATAACGTGGAGCATTTACCAGTGACTGTGCACCATTTATACGTTGCGTGAAATCAACAAAATATCCGATCAATATCGATGGACAATGAATTCGAACAAAACTATTTTACGAATTTCGAACGTTGACGACTGCCATAGTCAACGGATTTTTTAGAATAGTGACCATAAACGAATCCTTAAATTGTAAATTTTTGTAGACAAATAAACAAAAACCTTAGGCGCTACGGGATTCGAACCTGCGCCTTGTGGTTTTTGCGTGTTTTTGTTCATTTCGCTACAAAAATTTACATTTTAAAGTTTCATCTGGAGTGCCGAGACTAGCACTAAAATTATAAAATAATCGAATCCATAAAGTAGTTTTATAACAGTCTGTAATTTTGGCGTAGACTCACCTCACAACGACGAGGACGCCATAGCCCAGATAGTAGAAGAGGTAGAAGAACATTTTAAAGAAACCGAGCACCAGCTCAGCTGGGGGCATCTGCTGCAGATCCGCGATCTTCGCCTTTATGTTGGACGGCGATAAGGAGGAGAATGCCGCGGAGATGCCGTCCTTCACGGATTGCAAGCCGCGACGGAATGGATCTTTACCGGCCCTATATAAAAAGGACAATTAGAAATTAAAAAGAAATTATTGAGCAGTCGGGGAGGAACAGAGAGACACCTTTATTCTTGTGAAGAGAAAAAAGGGCGACTTGAAACAAGTTAAGAACGTAGATAGATGTCGAGATTTTCACGGTGCGAGGACATCGTCCGCTTAGCTTAATTGGCAAAGCGTCAGGATGAAAATAAATTCACGTTTTAATTTTTATCTTGATTTTTTTATGTGAGAAGGTTGCAAAACCTGATGCTAAGTGATAACCACAGCCCATAGACATTTGCAACACCAGTATGGCAGTAGATGTTGCCATCAATAAAATGGGCACCGCACTTCGACTTTCGAGCCAGTCTCCTGTGAGTTTGTGGCACTTACCCGGACGGACCTGCCTATTCGTGCAATAACGAAGAGCGTCGCACCACGTTTGAATGCAATGACGACAAATATCAGACGTATTGAGTCACCTCTCGTCATCGTCATCGCCCATGTACATGTATGCCGCCTCTCTATTCTTCGGACCGCCCGCAGATTCCTCTGAGGCCGCCATCAGTCCTGAAGCGTGAGTCATCTCGAAGATGGCGTCCTCGCAGAAGTTCACGAACGCCTCCAGTTTCTCCTTGTCACCGCCCTCCGTTACGATGCTGTAGAAGAACGCGCGTTTCGACTCCTGCAGTGGAATTTGGTGGGGTTAAAGATTAGCGTGGTGGGTGGTGAACCCGCCTCTTGTGCCATAGGATGTGGGTTCGATCCCCACTACTGGAAAAATAATGTGTGATGAACTTTGCGTTTTTCCAGTGTCTGGATGTTTATATGTATATGTAGTATTTTATTTAGAAAAAAGTAAGTTTATCAGTAATGTTGCACAAATAGTACAAGCGATCCTTAGTTTAGGACTAGAGAACGTCGTGTAAAAACTCGCCTAAAGTGTTTATTAGCTTTTGTTACGTCTAAAAATAATGATAATTATTGAACTCATAAAATTTTTTTTTATGTCAAGCAAGCAGGCGGTTCACCTGATGTTAAGTTAATACCGCCACCCATGGATATCTACAACACCCGGGGTCTCGCAGATGCGCTGACAACCTTTAAGAAAGTGGGCCCCGGTTACCACACTCAGCAGACGAAATGAGAAAGTTTAATACTTCCACTTCACGCCGGTCGTCTGAGTGTGGTAAAGGACGTGGTACTTCCCCGGACGTGTCTACCCATTCGTGCAACAGCGGAAACTGTTGCGTGGCCCTGTCCACAGTTAAATCATCTCCCACTAAGCTGTGAATTCAATCTAATAGGTGGTTACGCAGTAAGAGGTCTAACATTTCTAACAATTTGGTTTAGGTTTATTAGATAATATGTAATTTTAGGTAGATTTAGTCTTGTAAATATTAGATCAATAAAGATTGTAACATTTATTTGGAACAGTCCAACAGATTAACAGTAGCAAATAACAGCCACTTTACTAAAGGAAACTAAATGTAACTAGGTTTACTGATTTATTGCGTTTGTGAATAGTTTTAATTCTTTCTCAGTTATTCGCGTTTATTTTATTTTTTTATTTTTAGTCTTACTTTGATTTGCGGCTTTTCCCATTGCTCAATGTTCGACTCCTTGATCTCGAAGTAGACTCTCTCTATGCGCTTGGACCCTCCCATGATCTCGATACGGCCGAGGAAAGGCTCGAAGTAGTTCAGTACGGAGCCCGCTGTCTCCAGGAAACGGGCGAGTCTGCATTTTTCACACTTTACATCGTCTCGCTGCGTCTCTCGTAATATTTAAGACAACAATCATCCATCAGCCAAGTGGAGGGGTCTATCGTCGTGCTGTGCACAAGTTAGATGTAGGGGTTTTTGAAAGGCAAAAAATTCCGCTAAACGGTGTACGCTACTGCGATTCGTGCCAGAGGACCCCAGATAGCAATTTCGATATCCTTGTTATTAGACCACTTTGGCCTGTACATTTGCCAATAATTGTGATATTAAATTATATAAAATCCAATCCCTTTAAAACCTAACAGTTACATGACCTCATGGATAAAGTCAATAAGGCTTAAATAATAGTGATGACCTGTGCAAATGTGTGGGAAGGCCATCGCCATCGGCCGAGGTGGCTCAGGATCGTGCTTCGTGGCAGTCTGTGGGAAGATATTCAGCAGTGGACTTTAACAGGCTGAAATGATGATGATGATGATGATGAAATAGCGAATTTGATATTTCTCCGTATTTTAATAATACCTGGCAAAAGTCTAGATATGTTGATTTAATGAACTTACCTTGGCTCGTTTGGCATGTGCTCCGAAAGGTTGGTCAGCAAAACGGCAAGGTTGAAACCAATCTCCTTGGCGGGCTCATGGAATCGGTCGCAGAAGCCCACGTAGTCCAACTTCCCATCGTGGTTCGTTTCGCAGCAAGCCAGCAGAAACTCGATCTCCTCTCTGAAGGTTTAGAAAATTCATATTAAGCAACACAGTTCATATAAGTAATATCTGAGGCTGCCTTTTTGCTCCTGCCCTTAACCCACCTAAGTGGGGTCACCACTATGATGAATCATGTTATAAATGTTATTATCTAGGTTTTTTACGACTGACTGCCTGCCTGACGTCACCCCTTCTTGAAACAAATACCCTGTACCGAATCTTTTATGTGTGTCACACAAATACTTGCCCGTGTGTTCGGATACCAAGAATCCCAAGCTGAAGTCAATAGCTTGACAGCTGCCAACCGATTTGTACTAAAATGTGCAAATAAATTAATAAACTGTGGTAGGGCCACGCCACAGTGTTCGCTGTTGCACGAATGGGCAGGTCCGTCCGGTTAAGTACCACGAAGTCGCAGAAGACAAGCGTGAAGTTGAAGTGTTACACTTCTGCGTTTCGTCTGGTGACATGGGCGGGGGTTATCACTTATCATCAGGTGAACAGCCAGTTCATTTGCCATTTTGTCATATAAAGAAAACTTAGAAATATACTTACGGTGTGTAACTCTTTTGCTGCTCCATCTTCTCTTTGAAGTCTTTGGGCAGCACCCAGCCGTCGTTGTTGGCGTCTATCTCCTGGAAGCTGGCGCTCGAAGTCAGATCCTTAAGTTTCAGGAACATGTCGAAGTACTTGAGGATGAGTTCAACGTTAGACGCCGACTCGACTAGCGTGTCCACCATCTGTTTACCGATTGTGCCTAGAATGGTTTCGAAAATGGTAATTATTTGAAAGTGTCTATTTTGGTAATGCTTGGAGAGTTGGAAGGGTTTTTTTTTTATTTGATCGTGTCATCAGCGGTAGCCAATTCTGTGTCTTTATAAACGAAATAAAGAGACGGCATAATACTGAACGTGAATATGGATTCTTCAAAATCGTAAAAAAAAAGGAAGAAAATAAGAGAAGCTGCTTACTTTATCATGAAATGTTAAGTGCCAAACGTACATCACCGATAATTGCTCAAACTGGACGAGAGAAATTGTACTGAAGTTTATATACTATGTAATTATTACATAACCATCGTTCTATTGTATATTATAGAGTTAGTATTTTGATCATCAATAAGTGAGTGTAACGCTCCTATTTCAACTTGAGAGCATGCGAAATAAGAAAAGGATCTTACCATTAACAACGTTTCCTTCAAGCATAGACAGCATCATTGTGATCATGTCCTTCTGCAGATTAAGCAACTCCTTAAGCAAGTCCACTTGTGAGGAATGCTTCGATAGCTTATCCTGCATGTGCGAGAAGAGGAACAGAAAACCACCGACCGCGTCCCACAATCTGTGAAGAATGACAATGTGATGATGACTCTTAAGCAATGTTTGAAGTAGAGATGATTCCTATAGATATATATCTGATGTATAGAAATCGAAGTTCGTATGTTTCTTGCAGACTCCAAAACGGCTGAACGGATTTGGATGAAATCTACTGATAATCTGTAGATTAGTCTAACAGGTGTTCTTGTGAAGTTTGGAAGCGATCGGATGAACAGTTTTCTTGGATAATTAGTGCTACCCTTGCGATATCGCTGTGTGTCGTAATATATAAATTAAAGGATAAGCATAGAATCGTTAACAATACTCTTTAAATAATATTTCGAAGACGTTTCATGTTATTTTGAAGTTGACATGAGTCGCGGATTACGAAAACTAAATTATGTACACAGTGGAATTCCACTTATAACAAATGTTTTAGACCGTTCATTCTAACAGAGCAATATTATGCCCGTAAAAATAGACGTCTTACTGGTCGTCTTTGCACTACACCGAGGATTCAATATTTTTAATGGTTTGTGACTTTAAGCTCAGTTAGTGATCCTAAATCTTATGTAAAACAACAATTGGGTTGGCAGTTTAGTACGAAGTTAAGTGGAAGGAAATTCTATTTTTACCTGGAATGTGCCAAAGCCTGCTGGTTCTGTGTGCAAGGGCCTTGTATGACCTCGGTGAGCGTGTTGAATACTTGGGACGCCACTCCGATGGCTTTGAAGAAGTTCGCTTTACCGGCCGGGTCGATCAGTTCCTGAACAGGGAAATTTTCAATGGAACTAAGTTTCACGAGCTAAACGTGCATTGACACAGATTGAACGATTCTTCGGCATATGCAACGTTAACGTTGACTTGTTTTTTTTATTTTTATTTAATGTTTTTTTCTAATACTTAACTTTTTTTTTACATTTCTTATCTTTTATCTTAGATTAGTCAAAAACGATCATACCATGAGTTTTTTTTTTATGGAGAAAAGGGGCAAATGAGTACAACAAATACTCTGTTGTATGCTGTTACTACCTATAATTAAGATTACGTGTAAATTGTTGGCATAAAATTTGTGTTCCAAAATAAATAAATAGATAAATGTATTTTCCTCCTATGGAAAAAATGGGACCTCTATAACTTATAAGTTGTAGTCAAGGTTTATCAAAAAAATTATCAAATGTTGTAGAAACAACCCCTCCCCCCACTTTCAAAGTTTAACCTTGGAACATTACAAAATTAGGAAACGTGACAGTGACAATTAAAACGTTATGAATGAAAGCAAATATTTTTGTCATCTTAGTATAAACATGGTTCAGTCGAGCCCGTTCGAAACGTTGGGCATTTTAAAATTACGTAACAACTTACTTTGCTCGAGTAATGCCAGTAGAAGTCCATAATGGACTCCTGCAAACGCAGTAGGTAGTCAACGGTGCAGATTACAACGTTTACGGTCGTCGTGTTACCGGCTTGGGTGCGCAGGTAGTTCTGCCATTCTGAAAAGTGTTATATAACGTGTCACATAAGGTCTACTTTAAGTTACAACAGCTTTCAACTCGGCTACTATAACGGAGAACTCAAACGTTATGCTACCAATCTTCTTTGATCAAAGGAGAAAATTCTGCCCAACTCAGTAATCCACTTTTCAAGCAAATACGTCCGATAGGTGGTGACCTTGTTGATTAAATAACAACTATTTACAAAACACTTTATGAGGTGGCAACGCATCTAGAACCCTATGGGTGTTGCAAATTTCAATGGGCGGCGATTATCACTTAACATCAGGTAAGCCGCCTCGTTTGCCGCCTTCACCCATAAAAAAAATCAAATCATCATTTCACTTAACCTATGGTGACACTTAACGGTCAGATGCTTGAATCACGTCTATTATGGTCATGTATTACATGAGCATAATCGTGATTAAGGCATGAGCCACACTAGACAGGTACGTACCCAAGTTGTGGCCTTCGCAAGTTAATTGAATGAAACGGAACAAGGCGCAGGTGAATTCGGCGTCGTGCATGTTCTTCTCGCCGGCCGCACCCTCCAGACCAACACCAAGACCTGGAATCACTCATTCACTTCAGCATCAACGAGTTTGGCAAAACATTAATGTGTTGTGGGCTACACCACACTATTACTTACATTATTATACCTTAATTTACTTTCAATTTCCTTTATATGCCCGGTTCCTATATTCAATGAACGGCCGTTAGTTACATCGCTTCGTAACTTTCATAACGGCTTGTAGACAAAAGGCGTGTACGCCCGGTTCCTATATTTACAAAACGAGGCGTTTTCCTTACTAACCGTTGCATTACCTACAAAAAACGAGTTACTTGCGTTCCTTTAATCAACAAGTCTCTAATATAAATAATATCAAGTAATATATATAACTAACGGACGTCCGTTGAATATAGGAACCGGGAATTAGTAGATGTCTCTTTTTTATTTTATGCTGTCTACGGTTTGCTTTTTAGCATTTTATGGTATGTTATATTAACGATTCAACATTTCTTGTTTATTAAAATCTTCGGAATATGTATAGGTTTTTCTTTTATGACTTGAGTTATATCGTGAATCAAAATCGTTAATTAAGGCCGATTTAACTTTTAACAGCATATTCGTTGACAATTCAATACATTCTAAATTTATGTAAATGTAAATTATTTATGAAAAAATTAAATAAAAGGTAAAGGCAAGGTAATATACAAAATAGCTTTACAGTCGTTGATGATATTTTGTTCAATATGATATTATCTTTTCTGGTACATTTAATTATCACGTTGTTGTATCAAAATGTTCAGGTTAAAATATTTCTATCAAATAAAGTGCATAATAAACACCTTCAGCCTTCGTATTTCTTTCGAAAGCGTCCAAATCCAAGACGGAACAAGAGTTCATGAGGCCAGCTATTGACGTGAAGAATCCCACATCCTTTTTGTCCTTTAGGTGGTTTAACATGCCCTGTGGGAGTAAAACATTTTCATGATAAAAAAATCTAATATAAGTTTAAAATCAAATAATTATTACTGTAACAATATATCAACGACAATTGAAAGGGTTTTTCGTGAGATACTGTATCAGCCAAACGTCTCTAAGAGCTTTTTCAATATCACCAGTAAAATACTTCGTCTGCCATCCTTACTTCTACGTTTTGTACGTCCATATTTGTTTTATATAGCTTTATTATAGCACCAGGCTGTATCTCATGAACCGAGATAGTTAGACAGTTGAAATTTTCACAAATGATGTATTTATTTTGCCGCTATAACAATAAACACTACAAAACAGAAAAAAAATATTTAAGTGGGCTCCCATACAACAGAAACGATTTTTAGCCGTTTGTAAGGTACAGGAAATTTTGTGTGAAATAAAAAAAAAACCCTTCGTGCAAGAGTCCGACTCGCAATTGGCAGGTTTTTTAAAAGGCTATTTAAAGTTACTACAATATTTATGATCAACAAGTGCGCGTGACTCACCATCTGAATATCGATGTTGCCTCCGCGCAGTATAGAGATCCCTAACTGCAGCGTCTTCATCACCATGTCGCTTGGCACACCCTTCGAAGCGGAGATGTGGAGCAGCACCATCTCCGCTACGCCCCTGTCCGCGAGACGGGCTTGGTGGAAAAGCAACTTCTGCTTCTCCATCTCTTGCTCCTGTCAAAAAGTCAAAAGCTACAGTTTGCACTTTGACCGAAGAATCGACATTAGAATTGATGGAAATATCACGAGTTTTAGGTTATATAGTGAAAAGGTCCATCTATCATCCATCTTATGCTCTGCTAAAGTAGTAAAGACTGTGTCTACGTAAAGAAATGTGTACTGACAGATATTTTTATTTTCAATTTTGGAGTTCCTAATGGTTTATTAGCAAGCTGAACCCAATTAATTTCATGATTTTAAATTTTATATGTTTCGGTTTCCCGACTAAAGTCTTAAATTGTATTTAGCTTGCAGTTGATGTAATGCTGTCATCGTAACTCCATGGACAATAATTAATTGACGACCCGAATGGCGTAGTGGGTAGTGTACCTGACTCCTGCGCCAGAGGGTGTGGGTTCAATCCCCAGTACTGGAAAAATATTGTGTGATGAACATGGTTGTTTTCTAGTGCCTGGGTGTTTAATATGTGTTTATTTACAAAAGAAAATTATGTTTAAGTATTTTTATCAGTTTTCTAGTACCCATAGTACAAGATTTGCTTAGTGTGGGACTAGAAAATGTTGTCCTAAATTATTTATTTATTATTATTATTTATTTATTGTAAAGATCTCGAGCTTAAGTCATTTAAGATGATAATAACTAATAGCAGGAGTCAGTGTTATTCTTATAAATTAAATAATTAAATTCATAATTAAATAAAATAAATAATTAAAATTAAATAAATAATTTGTCAGTTTTTCATCATTAATAGTAACGGGGTAGTGATTGGTACTTATTTCTCTATTTAATATCAGCAACTCTAGTATGTCTATAATAGCAGTAACTGTAGATATTCATAATGCTCTACAAAACATTAAAACTGTTACGAAATATTTATAGTTATTGTTGTACATACCATAAACATATCCATCGTTTTCTGCTTGTAATTACACAAAATGGAAGTTAATTCATGTCATATATTTCTTTTATTCCCTTTGTAGTTGTGACAACTACCAGTATATGAACATAATACGGGTAATAACATAGTGCAATAAAAGTTGTATCAAATAAGTAAAAAGCAGTGCTTTAAAATTGATGAAATTCCTTATTGGTAATAGGAGATATTCTTATTGTACATTTTTTTTTTAGTATAGAATTGTTTTTCTTAGTTTTTAACCCAGTTTAAAACTACCGACTGTATTTATTTTCATACTAACGTGAATACTCGCGCGCCCTTCTTCCTCGCCTTCGGCTTCTCCACCGCCTTCTTCTTCGTCACCACCACCTTCTTCCTCTTCTTCCCCACAAGATTTTGCTATTATGTGTGCGTACGACATGTACAACGGATCCTCCTGTTAATCACAAACATTTTGATTATTGCAAAAGCTGCGGATTTTAACTGGGCCGAATGCTATTCCTTAAAACAATACATATGTATATCACACATATAATTATGTTCACAATGAAAGTTGTGATAAAATAGAAAAATGTTATTAAATAAATCATTTTTTTTAAATATATCTTCGCAAATTAAAAATATTTTTATCCACCGCTTTTTTTTTAATTGTTGTTTTTATGGTATAAAGTAGCAAACGAGCTGACGGTTCACCTGATGTTAAGTTATAACCGACGCTCATGGAATTTTGCCACACCCGTAGGGTTGCAGATGCGATGCCACCTTTAAATAGAGTGGGCCCGGCTTCTATTTCTATATTCCGCAATGGTACAAAATACTTTAACCATAAGTTTACTTGATCAAATGGCAGACTTAATACCGACTGTGTGATTTTATTATACATGCGCCCAACTTATCCCATGAACGACCTATTTCCTTTTTAATATACAGTTATATTGTATACCTGAAGAGCTCCAGAACGTTCCGTCATTGCGCCCCTGCAGAACGTGGTGACTAACTGGGTGAGGGGGTCTGGCTTTCCTTCCTCCTCCACTACATCGCTCTTCTTCAGTTCTGCATCTTCAAACGATTGCTGTTGACGCAATGAGTCATTGTATTCAAATTGTCAATTATATCAACGATTTCTCTATCCACTACTTAGTGGATAGAGAACCTGTCTCTTACGCCAGAGCACGAACAATGTTTATCAACTGTCTGGATATTTATATTTTTAATATGTTTCTATTTACAAAAACAAAGTATGGTCATCGATTAACTTGTATCTATTGTTACTAATGTTTGCATAGATAGGGACTAGATAGCGTTTGTGTGAAGATAGCGTTGATGAGAATCTTTATGTATCATCAAAAAACATCGTGTGATTAACATGTATCTATTGTTACTAATATTTGCATAGATAGGGACTAGATAGTGTTTGTGTGAAGATAGCGTTGATGAGAATCTTTATGTATCATCAGAAAACATCGCGAGGAAACTTGTATATTTTCGAAAAAATAACAAGAAAACACATATATTTCGAAAATATGTGTAATACCTAGTGGGGCCGTGTGCTTGACTATGCCCTAATACCCTGTGTTCAGAATTTGCCCAGTAGCCTACTACTGGGCAAATTATGTAACTAAAATAAAAAAGTACAGCCTATACATTCCCTAGAATATATAGGCTGTTACCTTTACTTTTTTATTTATTTTCCTCTCTTGTATGAAAAATAATGCGTGTGGCTATTATTCACATGATACTATTATATCGAGTAATGTAAGTGAGCAGTTATAGGTATGTAGAAAGAAGGTACTCACGGTTAAATCTTCGATCATGACCTCTTGCCCGATATTCTCCTCTTGCAGCCAGAGTTCGTAGTAAGTGCGTGCGAATATGTTGCAAGCACGGTGCCTGTTCAGTTAAAATGGAATAAATGAACGGGATTTTCTGTTAACAGCGCATTTCCCTTAAAATCGAGCGCGTGTATAATTGTAAAAGACATTGTAGTCGCAGAATATTTGAAGAAACGATTCCCGCCAACGCTTAGGAATAGTAATAATAGGTAGTTGGCGGTTCAACTGATGCTCAGTGATAGTCGCCGCCTATGAGATGGACATTTGCAACTCCCTTAGGGTTTCAGATGCATTGCCGTCCGTGCCATCCTTTAGAGAAGTGGGTCCCGGTTACCTCACTCACCAGACGAAACGCATAAGTATAACACTTCCAGTTCACGCCGGTCTTTTTAAGGTCGTGGCGCATCCCCGTAAAGATCTACCCACTCGTGCAACAGCGTAGACAGTTTGTCTCGTGTGGGAACTGAAGCCACGACCCCCGGCTCCGAAGCCAATAGAAGTAACAACGCAGGCAACTGGGCCACGGAGTCATACGAGTATATAAGGTTGTAGCCTTCTTACCGACTTAGCTTGTAAAGATGAATCGAGCGCAGACAAGCGACCGCCGCGCGCTTCCTGGCGGCGCATAGCACCCTCTTCCAGTTGTCCGAGCGCTGTTTCGGCTTGGTAGCCTAAGTTTTCCGTTGCGGCATGCACACATGCTTGTTACTAACTTTGGACTAAGTTTGTTGGTTATTCGATTATTAAACGCGAAATATACTTGCAGTATGTACATAAAAAGTTCACTGAAACTGCCTATACAGGGCCTCAGTTTGGTCTTAGGCGGATTTGGTAAGATACAAGTTCAACCATAGTAAACACACACATAATTATGTTTCAACTAACTTAAAAATTATAACAAAAAAATAATAATATTAATAATTAATAAGTACAGCGCTGCGGTGTGTATTAAAGTTCGCGAAACAAATGTTATATGGTAAAGCGTTAGTAGTTATCGACAGAATGTTCCTCAAACAAACACACTCGATTAAAAACCTTACGGCATACACAATAAGACACCACAAGTCGTTTGCACCTTGGCAATGAGTGCAGAGACGTCTGTCTGAAGCAAGCGATTACGGCACGCTTTCGTTGTATCGACACTACGGAGCGGTACACGTTTTTGCTCATTTGCTGTGGGTGATCGATCTGATTGGGGAAATAAAAACAAAATGAAATAATTTAATAACAAAAATTAAAAATTAAGAAATTTATTGAATAAACAAAATTAATGAATAGAAAAATACACAAAAGGTATTATTACATATAAGGGGACCAAACTTAAATTGTATATAAATAAAATAATACAAGTCTAGTTGTGCGCGCATCACGGAAAAACTACTGGATAGATTTTAAACAACTCACTTGTCGCTTATGTAAAAAGTTGGAAATAATTGTAATATCTTCATTTAATGTAAAGTTATCATAGTTTTAAGAAAAGCAAGTTTTATGTGTTCAGTGATGTGTCTTTTCTTGTCGTGCTAGATAAAATACTACATGGCAAATATAAAAATTTACTTTATACTAGGTAGTCCAAAATCAAAATATGCTTTCATATCTTTTGAACCAAACGCGGCGAAGAGAGATTATCCTTAATGGATATGCTCCTTTGTATTTATAGTGCACTGCAATTAACTCTCCCCTGTTCATATTATATGTTAATTACGCAACTTGGAGAAAAGAATTCCTTCATTTTGCTGCGTGACAATAATCTACTATTGTTAAAACAAAATCAGGGCTAATATTTAAATATCACAGCAAGCAGCAGTCATTACAGTTCACGCTATTTCTGAATTTTTCTCTTGAATAATCAAAAATGTTTGGCGTTTCCTAATGTACGTTTTTTTTCTGTGAGAAAGTGACAACCAAGCTGGCGGATCACCTGATGTTAAATGATAACTGCCAGCCATTTAACATTTTAATACTCGAAGGTTTGCAGATGCGTTGCCACCTTTTAATAGTGGGCCCCGGCTACCTCACTCACCAGTCGAAACGCACAAGTGTATCAATTCCACTTCACGCCGGTCTTCTGTGAGGTCGTGGTACTTATCTAGACGGACCTGCCCATTTGTGCAACAGCGAACACTGTTGCCCTACCACGTTGATTCTTCGACCTATATGGATGTTAAACAGTTTCGTAATTAAGTCGATAGAATTGTTATCGATGATCATTCGACGCATATCTGCGGATGTACTGTGGTAGGACCACGTAACAGTATTCGCTGTTGTACCAATGGACAGGTCCGTCCGGGTTAGTACCACGATCTCACAGAAGACCGGCGTAAAGTAGAAGTGTTACACTTCCGCGTTTCGTCTGGTGTGCGAGGTAGCCGGGGCCCACATTATTAAAAGGTGGCAGCACATCTGCATCGGTGTTGCAAATGTCCGTGGGCGGCGGTTATCACTTAACATCAGGTGAACCGCCAGCTCGTTTGCCACTTTTTCACAATAAAAAAGTGTTTATATTTAAATAGTTTCGTAGTTAAGTCGATGGAGTTGTTATCACTCACCATGTGCAGACCGAAAAGCACTTTGCTCATGGCGACGATGCGTTCGACGGTGTCGTCGATGATCTTCGCCTTGTTCTCGGCCGTCTCCACCGTGATCGTGGTCTTGCTCTTGGAGCCGAGCTTGCTGTAGAGGTAGTGTTGCCATGACATCTCGTCCGCCGGGTCTATCTTATCTGGCAACGTCAGCTGCGTCTTCGCGAACTCCGCCACGTCTTGTTCGGACATTTTCTGTTGATGGCAAGTAAAAAGTAAAAGTAATATCCTATACATATCCAATACTGGGCAAAGGCCTCCTATATACAGTGGGTATCAGGGCATAGTCCACCACGCGGCTCCACTGCGGAATCGCGGACCTCACATATCTTAGAATTGTTGTTATTAATTCGAAAATATGCAGGTTTCCCCACGACGTTTCCTTCACCGCGGAGCAATTGATAACTCCGCACTAACAATTTCATTGTTGCCGGCACCGGGGATCGAAATCAGATTACTCAAGTATATTTCATTAAAAGTGAGCGCCCGGAACTAAGCTATCACGGCGCTGAGCATAACGGCAAGGTCATTACGGTGATTTTTTTTAGTTTAGGCTCGATTTTCATGACATCGACGATATTAAAATCTGACATCCGTTGGAAAATTTAGAGAAAGTCCAGAGTAAATGGAATAGAAAAAACGTTCAAATATAACTCTTGATTGATGACTGTAGTGCATGTTTATTTAATATGCCAAAATGGTTATGCTTGTAATCCTTTGTATTTATAACGGTGATTAAAAATTCTTTTTTTTATACGAGTCTGCTAATAAGTTGTCTAATAATTTGTTGAAATGTCAACGAGCACGATTTCCCACATATTTTCTACTTAAAAGGAGTTTCTTAACTTATACCTCGATTATTGTGACTAAAGAAAATTAAACATTTTTGATATATCAAAAGATTAATGGACATTTTAACTAAAGTAACCAGTGCTAATTCATGAATGCTTATTAGTATCATAAACAGATAGGCGTACCTTCAAAAATCTATCCTTGCAATGTTGGACCAACTCCTGCTCCCTACCCGCAAACAAGTTGAGCCCCACTGGCAAGAGTCTCTTCAGACAGGCGACCATAAGAGAGGCCTGCACCTCCTTGTCTTTGTCTCGCTTCTTGTCGCGATGCTTCTTCTTTTTCTGTAAAGTTCGTTCACGTCTCGATCATGATCCGTTCTCTCTTTCTCTCTCTATTGTAATGATAACGGGGACCGGTCAAGGTTCTATCGACAAGCGTAATATGAGTTTTCTAGTTACACGAGGAACGATAAACTTGAATACTAGAAATGTAAATTACGTCTTAGGATGCTCTTACAAAACTCAATCAGATGCATTTAGGATGAGTTTAATCACGTAGAATTGAGTATCGGTTAAGAAAAGGAAGATTTAAGGCTATAAAAATTTTAAGTAACATTCAATTGTCTCCGATGATTTGTGCGATATTATGACGTTCCATGTGGTGAATCACCAATTAAGAACCAAACAAACATCCATAAAAAAGACGAAAGAAACACAGAAACTGAATTACCTTCCCACCACCTTGAGGTGTTCCATCGACAATGGTGGTCACCCGCCTTGTAGCTGTAGGCATTATGAGCACCTGTGGTCGACAAACGAAAAAGCACGCTAAGACATGAGAGAATAAAGTTTTAAAAACAACGACCATTCCGAGAAGGCCAAGAGTTTACATCATGCTGTGAGTCCACATGTGTTGGAAATTTACGTATGAAATGTGCAAATAGAATTAGATTGCGCTTTAGACAGATCATTATGTAGATAATACAACTTGTAATGACTGTGACAACGTGTCGTACACTTTAGATTTTCAGTTATACTTATCCAGAAATTTAAGCAATACAATACAATACAGCCCACAATCTTCTACCCTCGTTAAAAATATATCAATGATTTAAGTCACTTTCATAATTACTGTATAATAGTAACATTGTTTAAATTCGCAAATATTAATAATACCGCGGTTCGAATAATTCCACAAGTTCCAAAATATTTATTTAAAAAAAACATGGAATACCAGTTTCTTTAAAAAAACAATAAATTGAATGAATAAAACTTTGAAGTTTGAGAAACAAAATTAATAAATAAATAATATTGTTGACAAATTATATCTTGGACTGAAAACTTGTTTGCTATCTTTGATCTGTCGACGCAATAACACAAAAAAAACTACAATCACAAAAATATAAAAAGAAAAAGAAGACTAGAAATACCACAATATTTCTGGAAATCAATAACATTAGAAAAGTGGTTATCATTTTAAAAAAAGAATAAGGTTAGTTACAGAACATCTTACCATGTTGTCGATTTCGTTTGCCGATATAAAGTTTTGCTCTTCCTTGAGGAAGTACTGACTTTTCGACCAGATGTTGAATATTTCTGCCACATGATTATATAACTCCTCTGCCTCTGTGAATACAATATTTCATGCGTTATAAAAGTTACAGATCAACAAACACTAGTATCTTTTATGACAATGCATCGCTAAATGATGTTATTGTCTGAGCGTTGATGTATATTTTACGCTTGAAAAAAATGAGAAGGATCGAGAACTTGTATGTTTGGCTGTCCTCGTATTTGATCGGATACCATTATTTGAAAAGGTTTAAATTCAGTTTAACACTACAAGGAACGATTTTAGATTTACTCGTTTTTTATACATAGTAGGTATTGTCTACTTAATTCATGGAGTTTTTCAGAAAAAGATTTAATAAATATTGTATGGCGAAAATGGAATAATTTTCAAAATTAAAAAGTAATAATCATTGTATCATAAACATAAAATATGCTGTACCTGGGACGTTGTTACGAAGCCAGTGGTTTCTCTGCAGATCGACATATTTGATGAGAAGCGGGTAGAACGAGTAAATGTCCCTGACTAGTAGCTGCCAGTCTTCTTGAATTTGCGACTCGACTTGCGACGTATCATCAGTTGACGACTAGAAAAAAGAAGAATTTATGGCGTTTATAATTCGTACAGCAAAACGAATCTAGTCGAAAAAGGATCTAAAAATTTTCCTGTTCATTTTCGGTTCGTTAATTGCGGTATAACTTGATCTAGTAATGGTTATTCTTCGTTAAAGGATATATAATCAGTGTATAAATATTTCAGTCGATTTGTATTATACATTTTAAAAGATGTAATCAATAAGATGCAAACTTCAAATGTTAAAAAACCTACAATACTGAAAACCCTACAAAATTGTATCGTACTATGAAATATATATATATATCTGTATACATTTACCTTGATGAATCCTCTCAGACTCTCCTCTTTGTGGAACATTGTATCCGTACGTTTCCTAACCCTCTCTGCGAGAGGTAGGAAGGAATCTCTCAACAACTCTTCTGAGCTGTTGATGATTATCTGCTGGGTGTATGTCGCGATTCTAGTCATCCAAGGAGCACTCTCATTTCCGATGTTCTTCTTGATGAGCTTCAACACATTCTTCAACAATTGGTTCATGTGCTCTGCTGTCACCATTGTGACATGGTTTCTGTGTGAAGGTGATTCTTGTTATTTAAATGGAATTAATATGAATAAATCACTGGGATATATGGGGAGTAGATCTTAAAGTACACTTCCCTGCCTGAGAAAAATCAAGTCCAAAAACCCATGAAATTACGAACCACAACAACCTTGACCCAATATATTCCACTGCCTGCAAAGCCAAAGATCTAGTGTGCATCCTTCGCAGCATACAACACCTGGGCGCGAAACCAGAAGACGAAGGTTCGAATCTTTTAGCGCCGAAAGTTTTTGTTAATTTACCTACAAAACTTTACAATTCAAAACAAGTTAACTCACCCCCCAGTTGGGGTCACGTTATCAGGACCCTGCGCCCACCAGAACGGCAAGTAGGAGCACAGCAGTGGCAACACCACGTCGATGATGTGAGGCGCCTCGTTGTACGTTTTGTCAGACTCGACAAACTGGTCTACCTCGTTTAAGATAGTCTCTAGAGTCGGCATTGATTGCTCCATTTTCGCCATTATATCTGTTAATAATAATCCAACAATTAATGATATAGAATTGATATTAATTCGAAAACTTTTTTGCATCAGGGGTTATTTTCAAAGGGGATTCCCTGAGGGGAAGAAACAGTTAAGTGGGACCTTGCTTACGTAATACCTAGAAAACTTATAATCAACCCCATAAACAAGTATAAATTATTTAAAGAAACATAAACCTGACTTCAATAAAATATAATTTCTCAATCTTTTTTCCGCGGACACCGTATTGAAATAACATATCCTATTTCGCATATATATTCATCATACAAACATATACATACATGCGCATGCTCGAAAAAAATTACCCTCCTTCAGAAATCGGTTAATAAAGTAACATACCTTGTGCTTCCAACGAGTGATCAGCGATGCGGTTAAGAAGAGAGAACTGGTTGTGTTTATTCAGGTGAGGCTCCAGGAATGCCACCGGGAAAGTAGAACTGAATGCACCCAGGCATGAGCCCTGAAATTTATATGTATTAATAGATCGCAACAAGTGACTTTCATCATCATCATCATTTCAGCCTGTTTGAGTCCACTGCTGAACATAGGCCTCCCCCACAGACTGCCACGAAGTGCGATCCTGAGCCACCTGCATCCATCGACTTCCCGCACATTTGCACAGGTCGTCACTCCATCTAGTGGGGGGTCGTCCTACACTGCGATGGCCAGTACGAGGCTGCCAAGTGACTTTACTTTCGAAGATTAGCGCCACAAGAGAAGTGAAAGAAAGACGGGTCACGGGTATACATTACAATACTAAGATAAATAGCACAATAACACTTATTACATTAAACTTTTTTGAACGTATTTTTTTTTACCTTTTTAAACTTTATGTTGTCGTATCTTTAATAGTAAAAGAAAGGTGGAGACAAAATAGGTTCAATAAATAAATCAAGGAATCACGCACATTTTTACAAACAAAAACGAGGATAATACTAAGCAAAAATAATTTATAAGGTGTAATGCAAAAATAATTTTTGAAATCGGTTCTCAATGACGGAGTTCTGAGTGAGTAACAAACATGAAAGAAAAATATAACCGTTCTTGAGGTAAGACTAACACCATATTCATCATTATACCTTTGTCATTAACACTAGTGTTGTGCTATAAAAATATTTGTGTGTATTACCAGTGCAGGTTTGTTCCTTTCAATTTCTGTTTTCAAATATTTCCTGTCGTGTGTGAGCGAGGAGTCGGTGCCAAGGGAGTACAAGGACCCGAGCATTTTGTATGAGGCCACTTGAATCTCATCAACTGCAAATAGATAATTTTTTGCGTTAAATATAAATACTTATCATAAATACCTTATCTTAAATTTTAACTAAACGTCAATCTTATCCTTTAAACGAGCAATTCTTGTGGAATTTCTTGTGGAATTGGAATCTCGGAAACGGTTCCAGCGATTTTCATGAAATTTAGTATGTGCGAAGATTCGGGGGCGAAAAATCGATCTAGCTAGGTTTCATTTTTAGAAAATGTCCTTTTATCCCTGCTTTCAGGGAATGAAAAATATTATTCGAATACGACAGTAAATTTTGCCGCAAAAAAAAATGTTTTGATAGTTCCTTCGGTTATCGGGCGGCCCCGAAACAGAAGGCCGTGGTTCGTATCACGATCATTTACACATTAATTTTTTAACTTTTTTTTCGATTTCAGATCATTGCTTTCTTTATTTTAAATTTTTTGTCGATTTGTTATTTTGTTATTTTTTTCCCTTTTTTTTTAAAGTTCTTTGTTTGTGAAAAACATCAGTTCATATTTTCTTATTGTTACGACGGTAAGATCGAAAAATATTATGCATACTTCATTTCTCAGTAATTTGTATGTAAATGTAATTTCCAAAACACACGATTTACCAAAAAAAAAAAAACAAACCTCCTAAAAAGGTCCTCCGGGTACTATTTCATTTAAATTTGTATTTTTACATTCAAAGCCGATTCCTTATGTTGCATCTAAATATAGGTAGTAAAAGATCCATTAATTACATAAGCCTTCGGTTGTCAAGGAAATCAGTTGATGCATCTTGTTACGTATGCAGGTACTATTTTTTTTGCAATTTATGCATGATATTTATATACAAATGAATTCCTATTTCCATAAAGTTTTAGTGTTTGTGGATGGGTTCTGCGAAGGCAAAACAAGTGTGTGACTGTGGTAAAATGTCACTTGAAATGTAAACGTCTCTTGGCTGTACATCACTACATAGTATAAAACAAAGTCGTCGCGCTGTCTGTCTGTCCCTATGTACGCTTAGATCTTGATGCGGTTTTTTTTAAACTAAATAGAGTGATTCAAGAGGAAGGTATAGATATATATGTATAATACATTGTACCCGTGCGAAGCCGGGGGGAGGGGTCGCTAGTTTAAATATAAATTAATGTAATGTAATAAATATTTTTCCTTTAGTTTCATATGTGCTTGTGTAATTTAAAACTCATTCGATCGCAATGACCCTTTTGTAACTACTTTTCCCTTAGAAAAACAAAGAAAAGATGCGAGGTATTACTTAATAGAACGAATTAATCTAAAAACGCGCTTAGATTTTTTATATCTTTGTTTGTAGGCAACGTCAAGCTCACAAACTCTTTGATTCAGTAGATAGGCATTGAACCCAAAATCCCATTCCTCTAATCCAAATCTTAGTACGGTTGTCTTAATAATTAAAGTGGTAACAGCTTCACCATCAATCACGTTAATAAAAACCATCATTGGATACCTCAAGCACAAATCAAAAGTTTTATTTTTGAATACTAGGCCAATATCATGCACTTTTGTCTACATTTTGAAAATAAAACTTTTGACCTTCTTACGAGTATTTTGTAACATTTTTCGTGAAATTTGAATTCGTATACGACGAGCATAGATTAATGAAGTTAAAAAAATTGTCGTGCTGGTATTGGAAATAAAACGCAGCAATAAAAATCCAAATAAATTACATACCATCGTAAAATATAATGCGGGCGGTCGTTAAAAACATTGAAAATTGAAAATGTGGATACAGAGTGGCTTATTTCAAATGTGCTTACTTGTGGCCTACAAAGTACGGGCTTTTGTTAATTAATTGGTATAATATCTTTTTTAGTATGTATATGTATTGTATTATTTTACTCTACCTATATTTTTGAAAATCATTTTTATTTAAATTATTACATAGTAATATCAAGAATTATGATTATAAAAGAAATCATCTTTCATTCGTAGATAAGGAATATTGGTGCTGTGGAAAATGGTGAAAGTCTTTTAAGAATAAAAAATCTTAATCAAATTATTAACCAAGCCTCTGGTTTAATAGACAAATATAATATATTAAATAGTTTAAATACTAAAGGCTTTGAATGGGATCTTGAAAAAAGAGTGATTGATAATAAAATTAAAGAAACACTAAAAGATGCCACGAGAAATAAAGAAAATGGAAATTATAATACTGTCAAGGAGACATCAGAAATTGAAATGAGGCCTTTAGAAAGTGAGCCATCAACTGAAATGAGACAAGAAAATGGTCACAATGATCATCTATTAAACAATTGGAAATATTTTTACAACTATCCATCAAGATCAGCTAATTTTAAATCCCTAGATACTTATAGAGATTTACAAGACTTAAAATCTTTTGTAGAAATTGTCACCATTCTACAAAAAATATTGCAAAGGGAACATGCAATTTCCAGAAACAATAAAAGAGTGAAAATAGTCGAATGGGTGGAAAAACTGTTGAAGAAATATAATGTAAACACTGTTGTTCTAAAAAATATACCTCATAACTTACGGTTAAAAATAATTAATGATACTGACAATTTTGTGATAAAACAAGTTAAAGGCGAACAAGAAGATGCTTTCATCCTCGCCAATTTCAAGAAGGTAATTTTCAAGGTCTTATTTATTACTAACAAAACAAAGTGATTCAATTTTCAGAGCATAATGAAGCCTTCTTGAAAAATATTCAGGTTTAGGGATTACATTTTATGCATAAAAAAGAATTAATGTAACATATACTGCATATTTTTACTTCAATTTTAATATTAATGTTAATGAAATGATGTGTTTTCGTAAATAATAATAATTTGTTACATGAAACAATTTTCAGCAAAATCATTCATTGTTTAATGTACACTAGATTAGATTTGCAGTCATAGATTATCCATGCAACAGATGTAGAGAGAAAAAGTTTTTGATTTTCGAAACAAAAGTTAGACCCGACGAAATTTAATTCAATTGAAATAGTAGCGCCAGAACGATTATAACATATATTTAGGATTTATTTTAAAAACGTGTAATCTCTAAAGGTCTAATCTTACTGTCTAAACGTTTAATCTTCTCTTTAACGTCTAATCTCTTTAATTTGTATCTACTATAAAAAATAAGATTTCTATTAAGCAAAAATCTTTTTTTCTGCACTTTTAGACAGAAACAAACGAAGATAGAAACGCCGATATTGACGGAAGCGATATATCAGGGAAAGCGAATGATGGACTACGTGGCGGGTGCACTAATTGTGGAAAATGGCTAGTAAGGAAATGTTTCAAAGTTAGTACGTTTCAAGTATCATACGTTTTGTCATGAAATATTTCATGTGAAAAGTTTTGTGAGCTTATGATTACAATTCGGTCGGCGAAATAATTTTGGCTCTGCCCAATTATTTTCCAGGCACTGAAAGCCTCCACTAAAACTGCATGTCGAATTTACCATTGCAAAAGTGGATTCAAAAGTTCGTTCAAGTCCACTGCAAAGACTGCTTGCCTTCTGGAGTTTACGGACGACTATGAGATAAACAATAAGTCCAAATTGACTTGTAAAAAAACGAGATGTAAGTACGATACTATAAGATATGAAAATGTATCTTGCCGTCAGTAACAAGCATTGGCAGCTATATAAATAAATGAAATGTGTAACTTAACACAACACGAAGGTGCTTAAAGTTTGACAGATTAGAGATGCCTTTTAAATTATGTACCCATTTTTTTCATTTAGATTTGGACAAACAAAAACTATCAAATAGATCGGGTAAAGTAAAATATCCGGCAAATTTAAAATTAGAAATAAATAAGACTTAATTGAAATAAGATAATAGAATTAACAATGAATTTTTCGGAAAGTAGGGACGTGTGACCTCTTAGTGTGGTCATTCTTAGTTTTTTTTTTTTAATATTTCAGCTGTACATATCATGAGGGGCGGTAACTTCAACTTCTGTGGAAGCTCGAAAACTCTTCGTGAGGTAAGATTTGAGTTTTGCTTCCATATACTAAAAGGAAATCAAATTGTTCAATATGAGGCGAAGACACGAAGCTTCTTATGTATTGCGCCTGAGATTTATATCCTTTTCATTTATTTATTTTAAAAACAAAATAAATAATAGAAATAAATCAATCATAGAGAGATTATTTTTGAGCCTTTGTTTTGTTACAATCTAAAAGTTTTTTCAGTTATCCGATAACAATCTACGAGAATTAGCACCGATGTACAATGTCACTTTGAATATACTGAGGGACAAGTACGAAAAAGCGTGTAATAAGGAGTTGTATAAGAAGTGCGTCAAGGCTTGCTCGTGCACGATTCGGTAAGACTTATCTTTTATAAATAAATATAAAAACACAGACGACAAAAATATAATGTTAGTCAAAAAATATTTTTCCACTAGTGTTTGTTTACATTTTAGACACAAGTTTTTGGCTAACGAGTTCGTGCTTCACTTGATGTTAAGTGATAACCGCCACCCATTGAAATTTGCAACACCCGTAGTTTGCAGATTCGTTGCCACCATTTAATAAAGTGGCCGGGCCAGACCTCATTCACCAGAAAACGCAGAAGTATAACACTTCCACATCACGTCGGTTTTCTGCGAGGTCGTGATACTAATCCGGACGGACCTGCCCATTCGTGCAACAGCGAAGACTGTTGCGTGGTCGTACCACCGTAAGACACAACAACAATATAATATATTTAATAAAAATATATAATAAAAAATCATTTGTATACTATGTTCAATTTTATAAATTTGTTTAGAACCACATGCGAGGAACACAAATGCATGAAGAAGAAAATAAATAAATTTACGAAGGACTGCAAGGCTGAATGCAAGAGTACCTTCTCAACAGAATCTTCAGATAGTGACGGATCGACAGAATCAACTGACGATTCTACTGACGAGGATAGTGACTATGATGATTAAATTATACTTAAAATCATGACATGTCTTTTAACGAATTTCTGGCAGGGTTTAATTGAATCATTTACGTGAAGAAAGAAAGAACAAATTATAAGAAAAGTTGGCAACGCATTTGCCACGCATCTGATGTTGTAGATGTCCATGGGCGGTGGTAATCACTTAACATCAGGTGAACCACCTGCTCGTTTGCCAACCTTTAAAATTAAAAGAGCAAGTATTTAACTTATTGTAAAGTTATTGCCACGGCCCATGGACAATTTCAAAGCTGAGTTACAGATGCGTTACCAACCATTTCAAAAAGTGGACCCCGGTTACCTCACATTTCACACGGAAATCAATTTAATGTTTATAGCAGAAGGGTTCAAAACGTTATAATATATGAAGAAACCATAAGTGTACACGTGAAGATACAAGGTCAATCCATAATTAACGCACGCATGAGTACATACGCAGCCCTACCCACTGAGGAAGGCCTCAAACCCGTGGGCTCTGGCCAGCCCACCGGTTCTGCGTTCGATGAAGCTTTAATAGTCTAAGGACTGAAAGCGTAACATCAGTTATACAAATAGAAATACGAGGTAAATCAACAATTTATGAACCAGATAATTCACTTACGTAAAAGGTCGGCTCCGTACTCGCAGTTGGCTAGGTGATCAAACATTGCTGTGAGTATGGGAAGTAGCACGCCGTTTATGTAGCCCAAAGAAGTGGAAGTCTTAAGGTGCGTGCCCCGCAAGTGTGCGTATTTGCCCTGGAGGTGGGAGACAAAATTGAAATATTCAAATTACCGTGACGCATTGAAGATCAATGACCTCGTTTGCTTTGACAATCATCTCATGCAAGTAACGATTTTGAATTATAAAAGTTAGAAGTTTATGTGCTTATTCATCACATGCTCGACGATTGATTTTTTAAACTGATACTTAATTATCTTTGAACTTTTTCTAAATTCCTAATATAATCAGAAGAGCTAGATAGTTATGTGTATCTGTACCCTCTTCACGTTACAATTACTAAATTGATTATAATAAAAACATGGAATAAAAGCAGTCCGTAAGCCGATTAACACATACTATTTTAGGGATTTTATCGCGTTTAATTAGATTTTTAAATTCCCGACGTTTTAAAACCTTTCCAGCGTTCATGGTTATGGGAATTTAAAAATCTAATTAAACGCGATAAAATCCCTAAAATATTATCCATTTCAGAACGTATAATATTCAAGTTAAAACAAGAAATCGATACATAGGATACTGTTATTGTCTTAAAATTTTCTGACAAGACAACGAAACGCCCCGTGTTAGTGAATTAAATGAGACACATGTCACCTCTTGTAAGTTCAAGATCGTATGGCCGAGGTCGTCGGCGACGTTGTTGAAGAACGTGAGCATGGAGGTCCTGATGAACTCGGGGCAGTTCTTCACCAGAGACTTGGCGTCTATGCCCTTCACCAGGACTTGAAGGCAGCGGACAGTGATGCGCACGTCCGGACCGAAGGCGGCCAGCCTGAAAGGGAGAGCATAGATATTTTTAGAGGGGCCTTAAGAATTTACCTTAAAGCTTAAAAGAAAAGATTCAGAATTATCTAATAAATATAAAATTCTCGTGTCACGGTGTTTGTAATTGAACTCCTCCGAAACGGCTGGACAGATTTTCGTGAAATTTTGTATGCATATCGGCCATGGTGAAGAATCGGACAAAATCTATGTTTCATCCCCCTAAAGGGTGGTCCATCCCTAAATTTTTGTTTTTATTTTTATATAAAAAAAATTGTTATTATTTTTTTATGATATAGCATACAAAAACATATACAACCCTAAATTTTCACCCCTCTACGCCGATGTAGCAGCAGCAGCTAGTTTCATTATAAGATTTGGTCAAAAAGAAGAAGTAGTGTGACGTAACAACAGAATGGAAGTTTCTGTGTATTGAAAACGATTTCTAATAATATTATGATCAGTAGTATATGGATAGCGGTCGTCACCTTGTACAACGATTAGCAAGGTGACGACTTTAACGGGGATTAAAATAATGATTATTTATTAGGATTCCTTATTTACTCCGTTTTCGTTGCATTAATTCTTCGTTACATGTAATTTTGATTGTATAAAGACAAACCTTTGTTCGTTGCATCCGTAAAAAAAGATTTATACATTGGGAATAAAATCCAAATATTAAATGACGATGATAACAGACTACATAATTTTTTTTATAGTCAATAAAATATAATTAAAGAAGAATATAAATATAGAATAGAAAGGCGAATAAACCATGTAAGTAAAAGACATTGAGATTGTCTTGGTGTGGCAATCATTTAGCCTTGTTGCTTAGTGGTTAAAGCATCTGGGCGTGAATTCGGAAGACGTGGGTTCGATTCCCGCAGCAGCGAAAAACTTTTCGTCCTTTTTTCTACAAATTTTTATTGATGATATTCGGCCATAGTGATTTTCAATACCATTTGTAGGTCCGGATTGCTCTGCCAACCGTTAAAAGGGAAAGAACCTTTAGTAAAATCATTCACCGGTGGAAATTTAAGTATAAGTACTTCTTCGTCATCATCATTTCAGCCTGTTTTGTCCACAGCTGAACATAGGCCTCCCCCACAGACTGCCACGAAGTACGATCCTGAGCCACCTGCATCCGCCTAGTGGGGGGTCGTCTCACACTGCGATGGCCAGTACGAGGCTGCCACTCGTAGTACTTCTTATTATGCACGATTTCAATGAGACTGGTACTATTGTCGGTTAGGCTTTCCTATGTTTATATACTGTGGCTAACACAGTAAAGGAAGATATGGTAATATGAATATAAAATGAGGTACCGCGATCTTAGCAGGCTCGCCAGTTTGCAGAACAGTGCGGCAACCATCTCCTTCTCCTTCAAACTCGCCGCCCCCACGTTGTTAGTCGCTGTCGCCACGGCGATGAAGTAGTTGCGATGCGTTGAGAAATATTTCTCCATCAACGGCAACACAACCTGTATGATGAACGTCAATGACGATTGTTGTCGATAATCGAAACAAGTTAAGTTTGTATGCTAAAATGATACTGATCTCTGCTACGAGGTTCGATCAATGTCAATGACGATTGTTGTCAATGATGGTAACAAGTTAAGTTTGTCTGCTAAAGTGATACTAATCTCCGCTATAAGGTTCGTTCGCATCAGCGTTTTTTATTTAAACATATTGAATTAATCTCATTTAAGATATTTATTGTCGTTGCATAATGTAAGGTTGGTTATTGATGTTTATTTTAAATTTGCTATTTTAATGATTATTCAATGTTTAGGTTCGATTCCCACACGGGACAAGTATTTGTGTGACCCACACGTAACTCCGGATCTGGGTTGTTTGTTCTAAGGCGGGTTTGCCGTTGCAGGCAGTTGGTCGGTCGTTAAAAACAGCCAAAACCTTTGTTGATTGAAGGATGATGATTATGATTAATGTTTAATGTTCTGTCTCTCAGTTTCCAGCGTATATTAGGATATCACACGTGCAACCTTTAATACCTTTGCCTTAAAGGCATTTAGGTGGAACTATTGGTAAAGCTCCAAATTAAAACGCGATCTGACATTTGATGCAAATTTTCTCATAAGCCTAATATCTATATAGCAATACAGAAATAATACCAAGCGATTTTTAAAAAGCAAATGAACACAATTCAGTAAATATGTACTTGGTATTTTTACTATGCAACGTAATGGATAATATTTCCCTGGTAATAAATTACTTCAAAAATTTTTCTTCTATTTATTCGAGTTTGCCAGTTAGAAAATTATCGAACAATTAAACACAACATTTGTAATTTGTTATAATAATAATAATAATTGTAATTTGTTACCAGATGAATATTTATCCATTAAACACAAACACTTACATGTAATTTACATTGATTTGTTATGAATCGCAACATTTATTATCAAGTACAGAGCATACTTTCTATACACATATATACAATGCAAATCCATTTATACCACAAGCAACAATGTGACAATACGTATGACGCTTTACTACGCATAAAATACCTTCTTGAAACACTTTACTTCCAACTTGTACGGCTTGTAATACAGTAAAACAGATAAAGATAAACATAAATTGGAAATACTCAAATTTTCTAGAAGAAGACTAAACAGAAATGCAGATATTCATAATGGTATAGTCAAAAATTGAATTAAAATTAATTTAATATTTTATTCGTGTTAACGTTAAAAAATATAAACAAATTTAAGTTTTATTGATTTTAAGGAATTTAAAAGAAAAATGTGTAAAATGTGTAAAATTTTAAAGTAGTAAAATCTAAAGATAGATAAACTCACCTTGGAGAAGAATTTAATGTCTCTGGTGCTAGTCTTAAAACTGGTTCTGCGACTGAAAGTAGTCGAAGGTTTCAACAATTTCATATTGATAGTCGCCCTGTCGATGTACTGGATGAGTTTCTCCAGCAACGAGTAAGCGAATCTGAGCTCTATTGCTACACCGGTAGTGGTCTGTTCCGTGTCGATCTGGGAGGCTTTGCTCGGCCGATGGAGCTTGTACCCTTGGTACTGGAGGTACTTGAGGAATTCCTGCGAACGTTCGCGGTCCTTCTTCTTTTCTTTATCTGTCAGTAAGTCGTATGGCACAAGTTGTGGGTGAATTCCGCCTGCAGAATGAAATGTGAAATTAGACACCAAATACAATGCTAACGAAAAATACTAAACTAATAACACCTATTCATATCCTATCATGTCACATTCTGTTGCATAAGTGACTATTCTTAAGACTAGAGTTTAAACAAGGGATAAAGAAGATAAAGAGATCATGTCAGTTAAAACATTATCTAGTAAAATAGATTTCGTAAAAGATTTCACTTTACCTTAATCACTTTGGTTAACATTAAAATTTTGGCTCTTTATTCATCACTATCCTCAACATATTATTAAATATTTTACGTGAGTGAAAATTCTTTCCGTCTTTACTTCAGTAGACTTAATTTTGTTTAAAACTTTTATTTCACAATGTTTCCACTTATGTAAAGTTGTTTCAGTATTGTTAAGCATCATAACATAATCATTAAAACATATTATAGTTTTGTTTAAACTATTATCCTTTACCTCCATTAACAACTAACTCTTCTTTCTTTTTCTTTGCCCATATATCGTGTGCGTTCTCAGCCAGCCTCTCTGCCATATTCTGCATTTCTCTCGACAGCGTTAGGTTTGTCATGTCGACTGGGTGTGGGTTGTAGTTGAACGGTGTCGCTGAGTCGGTCTGTCGATGAGGTGTTCTAAATTAGACCTATATTACGGGAAATGGGTCGTACAATAAATACTAAAAAAGATTGAATCTAATGAAGAGTCATCGTCAGATTGATTTGAAACCAAAGTAAAAACTCAATAAATGAACACTAAACATTCATTCATTGAATACTATTCACCTGACAAAGTGCATGTCAGGTAGCTTAAGTAACGAAAGCGATTGTCTGTGCCATGCACCACACCATAAGACACCAACTAGACGTTTGAAGTATTTTGATGAGCATGATTTTTATGTTATATATTTATTAGAATTTCTGCCGGTCTAGTTTTAGGTTCAGAAGAGTATCAAATTAATGTATGGGATTAACGTTGGTTATCCTATTTTATGCTACTTTTGGTGTATTATGTTATAACTTTATACAATCTATATAACTTACTACATTACACACACTACATGTAAAATATTAAATTAGGCATATGAAAGTCAAAGCAGCAATTGAGAGAGGAAAGGATTTACTCCCTAATGAGACAGCCGTGGAATTTGAGGTCTTGAGGTCCAAGATATGTGGTCGAAGGTTCGAATTCTAGATTCGTGAATCTTTTAAGAAAATTAAAAGATTTACATTCACAAATCACTGTCCCAGATTTGTGATTGATGTACAGCGATGGTGTGTGGTTTTTTCACTTTTTGAAATTAAATCAGCTGTGCGGAACTTGGGTTAGCTTTCTCTTTCTACCCGGTTATAGTTAAAGAGGGATAGCCTTATATTTAATACTTACCACGATGTCAGGCACACGCTGAACGAATGATCGAAACGGTGCGGGAATATGAAACAACATCCATGTTAGCACTGCTATGAGGACACCCCACCATCCTTAAATCGAGACTTCCGACGTTCGCTCATTTTCCAAAGTTTAAGTTGCCGCCAAATTTATAAAATTGAAGTATTTATAAACGTCATAATTTATCATTAGTTTAGAGAGAAAATCTTCAATAGTAAAGGCACAGAAAAATGTAATGGAACTAATATAAGTAAATAAACTAAAAAAATAATTAGGAAAAAAGGCTAGTTATTATTGCATAAAATATTCGACTTCATCGCTAAATATACAAAGTAAATTTAACTTTTACTCTTGTCTTTAATTTTACTATCATTCATTACCATAGTTGCAGTTTACAAGTATTGGTTACTCGACAGGTTACGTTTATGTTTCAATGAGCTTTTACTTATTTACTTAGGAAGCCTCGATTTCACGATTGTGGTAAAAATCACAATGCAATGTTATAAAATGCACATTTTCAGAGACATATTCTATATGAATACACAAAAATGTCGCACGCTTATTCAGTGGGGTTTCGCACAATATATAAAATACCAATATTTCGTGCTAAGGGCTCTTGTCTTTTATGATGCCCTGGTAGTTATTAGGCAATATGAGGGGTGTAACGCAGTATAGTATAGCTTTTTTATAATAAGGAAGACAATAAAAGCTGAGACAAAAATTGGGACACTATAAAGGCTTAATGTGATGTTGCTCAATTTGTCCATCTTGTTGAGAACATACTTGTTTCTGTGATCTGAGCGAGGCACAAATCTTGATGTAGGCAAAACCATACAATATGCAATTCTTTTTACATTGCTTTTTATATCAAACAAAGGATTTTAATATTTCATAATCCTGCAATAAATAGGATGTCAGTTTATTTATGTCAGTTTATTTATTATATTAATAGGATGTCAGGTTATTTTATTTAATATATGAAATTTTAAATTTCCGTAGGTAAAGTCTTTACTCAGACTTTTATCTAAATTTCTAAACTAAATAACGTAGTAAGATAATATACCACTTCTATCTCGATTTCTTCGTCCTGATCGCATGAACATAAAAAAAAGTATTACTATTTATTTAAAAACTACAATATGCTACTACTTATCCGGTATACTAGTTACTATATGCGAATGAAATGATTACCATGAAGAAATTACAAAATAAATAAATAATTTATTTAAATTGTAACATTATTATCAAATATTGTATTATTGCTTATAATATTTTATATTACTAATGAAACAACAAAGTATCTTATTATTCATTTAAATAGAATTTGTAAATAATCTATATTAACTAAATATACGCTAATAAAAATCAGGTAGCCTTAAGATCTTTTAAATTGAATAGTAATATTAGTTTCTAAAATATTTAAACTACTTTGAACTGTACGGTGACGTATTAGTATACAAAACACGTATGTGTATAATAAAATCTCCAGTTTAACATTCAAATATAAACATAAAATTGTTACAACATCGAATATAATCAATTTGGTTACTTACGCCACCAGATTTTGACTGTCGCCTCATAGAGCTGCGGTTGTTGCTGGGAATGTCAACTTCCGAGTGTTCCACAGACCAGCCAATGGCCAGCAAAGCCTTGAGGGACTCCCTAACGGGCTCTTTGTAGCGTTCCTTCTCCTTTAGAAACAATTTGGGTAGGCTTAGTATAAGATAACTGCATCGTTGTATTACGACGATAGATAATGTATTTGAATTCTACAGACTATGTACCATAATTTTTTAAGAAAACAGCGGAGAAATTTTTTGCTTGATTCATAACAACCTAATACATTCTGTTCGAAATTTATAAGTATAAAACATAATAGTAAGCCTTTCTGAAGTCGAGTTTTTGTGATTGACACCAAAGTATCTAAAATTCTATTCAATACTTAGTCTATTCAAGGCAAAACAGTTCTTTAGTCGTGGTGGTACAAGTTGCGTAAGATTAAAAATTTCGAAAGAAAAAAGAAAAGATACAAGAAAATACGTGATTATTAACTTTTAAAATATATTAAAACAAGTTGAACGAGTACAAATTGCAGAAAAGAATTGCCCAAAAAATACCATGATATGAGAAAAGCCTTGAATTGTAATCATGTAACTCAACTTGGCTGAAGTAATAATATAGAAAGTGTTTTTGCTTTATTTCTTATGTGTAACATTTAACATCATCAAGAGTTATAAAAATAACAAAGAATTAAGACACGAAAGACTTAAGTAGAAAGTAACTCACGTAGTCATTGAGCATATTGTAGGGCTTTAGACGCGGATGCGTCTTTTGACTGTCAGACCAAGATTCTCCGTATACCCAGCCATTTTCAATTTTCCTGTGAAAGATAACCAATTTCAATTAATTACTTCGAGATTTCAGACAACGCTTGGCATATCCAAGACGTCTTACTCAACATCATCATCATAAATGAAAAAATAAATATTGTACTTTTTTCCTTATTTTCTTTTTTTCCAGATCCGAAATAAGTGTTTCTAGGCGACATAAATACTTTCCTCGGGCAAAAGTTCAACTCAGATAATCGAAACTTACATGGACGGTGCCATTGAGCCACCAAAGATATGATCATAGATGGAATTGGTTATGTCTACTTCTAGAGAGTCATTCGTTAGTAAGTTTAAAACCTCTGCAACGTTATAGACGTCTTTGGGTTAATCGTGTAAAAGATCTATAACATAACAACACTGCAATGCCACATTGGTCAATTGTGGTACAGCCACATAATAGATTCTGTTGTACAAATGGGCAGGCTCGTCCGGGGGAGTACCACGGCGTCACAGAATATCAGGTAATATACTTTAGCATTTCGTCTGGTGAGTGGGTTAGCCCGGCGTCCACTTTCTAAAAGTTGACAACGCATTTGCAATCCCTCAGAAGGGCGGCTGTGTTCATCAAGCATCAGGTGAACCGCCTGTTAGTTCGACAATATTCCACATTAAAAAAAAAGATTAAATGTATTTTCTTTTGTAAACATTGCCCTTACTGGACAATGTTATCCTGTGTTGTAAGGACGTTTTACAAACATAAATTTCACGCGGACAGGCACGCAGATGCGAAACAACTAACTGTGGGTTACACAAATAGTTTTCCCAAATCGAACGCACGACGGAGTCACATGTAATTTGTGTCAGGATTGATGATGGAGAATCCCTTTCCCACCTTATATGTATATATAAACTCTTTCATAATTCACTTCATTGAGTCAATGGTATGCTGTTTACCTCGAGGCCCAAGCGTCGTGGTAGTGCTCCGAGAACTTCTGGACGATTGTGTTGAGGTCGTTGTTGAGGGCAACCGACGAAGTGTTGATCGGTTGAGGATCGTATTGGGGATTGTCTGCTCCTATGTTTACATTATAATATTATAACTTAGTTGTAAAATTCTAATGACGGTTGACATACATTTAGAATAGGGAAACCTAAAGATTTTTAACGTATTATGGTGACCTATTGTTACTGCAATTAACATATTTAAAAAAAAAATTAAAAAGAATACATATTGTCAAGTTCCTGTAAACTTTTTTGTTATGAATTTAAAATAAATATTACTTTCACTACTACGATTAACAACGTAGAATTTCTTAAGTTAGATTAAAGGGATCAGTTTACTGTCCAAAAGAAATTTGGTGAACGTAATAAGAATAACGATTATAAAAATGTCGCGGGAAAACATTATACAGTTAAAAATCGTGTTTAAATCTTAAAGAACCACTTTACAAATTTCATCATTCATAGTTAAATAGTTAAAACTTTATCCATTACCAGTCGCTTGCGTTTCCTTTCCATAGAATTCGTCATCGTAGTTCTTTGACAACGAGTAGTCAGGAGGTAACGCGCAACCTGAAGATAAACAATAAAATCTGTTAATATGTATATAAATAACCTGAAGTAGTCCCCAACTTTTATGGGGATCAAATCATGGAAAGATAACTTTATACTCTTATAGACTGATATTCTCTTATTAGATACTTATAGACTATACAAGATAAGTACAGAATTAAAAGCACCCGTTTACTCCTCTTATCGTAAATAAAAAAGGAAAAAATTATATGGCATGTATTGACAACTTTGTTTTTGTAGAACCCATTGTGGCTTCTAACAAAGTGAATTAATTTCTCAGTGGGTTAATTTTTTCTATATGGTTTAATTTATATATGTGTGCCTTCGAGCTTTAGGGTCTATAGGGCTCTGGCTACCTCACTTACCAGACGTGTTACACTTCACGAAGGTCTTCTGTGAGGTCGTGGTACTTGCCCGGACGGGCCTGCCCATTTATGCAACAGCCAAACTTGTTGCGTGCTCCTACCAGTTAAATAATAAAAGCCAATGAATACACACCGATCGCGATCAGACAGGGCAGGGCCTTCCCGAACAGTTCCGGCTCGTAGTCCATCTTGCTCAGGGAGTCGAAGATGTTGGAGAAGAGCATCATTGTGAGGCGCTTCTCTTCGTCGGAGGAAGCGCCGTAGATCCCCTGCCCGCCAGTGCTGCCGTAGTATTTGGCGCAACGCTCGTAGTGCAGCGTGAGTAACTGGGAAGGGGACACTTTCATCGAGTATTTGTATCAGATTTTGTATTTCAATCTATTCACTGTGTAAAGTAGAGCCGTGATAGCTCAGTGTCCGGGCGCTCGCCTTTAATTCAATATACTCGAGCAACCTGAGTTCGATCCCCGGTGCCGGCACCAATGAAGTTTTTAACTTTAAGTGCTGACTTATCACGTGCTCCGCGGTCTAGGAATACATCGTGAGGAAACCTGCATATTTTCGAAATAATAACAAAAAAAAAAATTCGAAGATATGTGAAGTCCGCCAATCCGCAGTGGGGCGTGGTGGACTATGCCCTGATACCCTCTGTATAGAGGAGGCCTTTGCCCAGCAGTGGGACATGTGTAGGCTGTTACATTACTGTGTAAAGTAAGAGGAGCAACGTTAAAAGCACTCAGAATCGATGATTCCTCAATCTGACGAAAACGTTGTGCAAGCGTTATGGGAAGTAGAAATCCTTTTTTTTGTCAACACCGCAGAAGTTGATACTTATTTATACATCCCGATTTGTTAATTACGTATTATTAGATTTAACATTTTTTGAGATTCTCATTTTCAATGGTTCCCTAGTAACTCACTCACAATTCAGATTCAATTCTTTAAATTTCTATGCAGATCGATACCTGTTGGTAAGTTGTCAATTAGTGTTGTCAGCTGCTCATAAAGTAATATGACGCGATAGATTTTTTTGACAATTTAATAATTATATGACCAAATGATGTTCCTTTCTTTCTTGTTTAAATTTAAAATAAAGTCTTTAGTATATCTTTTCTATACTGATCACATTAAATTAGGTAGACGCTTGCAGATAAGTTAGAAGGCAATGTTCCAGGTCTATAATGTAAATTTTCAGTAACAGAAAGTTACAAAGAGGAAACAAACAAAGCACTAACAAAAGTAAATTTTGAAGTACACTAGAAAAGTAATTTGTGAAAACAAATGGCATCGAGGACTGGCGATGGACAAAAGTCACGAATTAAAGTCAATAGAAACAAAGACAAAAATACAATGTGAGAAACGAATCTTGTACTTAGGTATCTGAGATATTATGGCTTATGGTTTTTTTCGGATATTTATATCTGGGCTCTTAATAAAACGGCAGGATGACGTGATACCGTTAGTTATAGATATTGAAAATAAAGTAAAGAATAAGACTTAGAGTTGGAGAATAAATTTATATTTGAACTTGATTACCCCAATGTTACGTTTTATACCGATTGATCGACCATGCAATATTTAGTTCAGGACAAATGGTTCTACAAGTCATGGACCTTACCCTTAGAGCTACAGTGGTGTACTCGGAGAGTCTTGACACGTCTACGGTCAGTTTGCGCAACAACTTTAGCAACATGGACGGCTGCATGGCAGATGTCAGGGCCACTAGGAAGTCAGACACGGCTTCTCGCTGCCCCTTTGTCAGCATACGATTTTTGGACAACCTGGAAAATGTTTGAAAATTAAAGTCAAGTAACAGCCTAAATATCTCCCACTGCTGGACAAAAATCTCTTCTTTACAGAGGGTATTACGGCATAGTCCACCACGCGGCCACACTACGGGTTTTTGGTCATTGACAGGTCGCAGGGACGTTTTGGATGCAACACGGTAACGAAACATGGTTGGTAGCAACCGGTCGAAGTGGTGGAAGTCAATGGGGGAGGCCTATGTGTGGACTTTCTACGGCTGATATGATGATGATGATGAGTAGATGACAAAAAGCTGGCGGTTTAGCTGATGTTAAGTGATAACTGCCGCCTTTTGCACCACTTAGACGTCCACTTTGCGTTGGTCTTTTGTGAGGTCGTGGTTTTTACCCGGAGGTACATGTCCATTCAAGCTACAGGTCTTCCCTGTTGCGTGGCTCTACCACAGTTAAATATCTTTAAAATATGTTTTGTGTTATTATTTCGAAAATATGCAGGTTGCTTCACGATGTTTTCCTTCACCGCTGAGCGCGTGATAAGTCAACATTTACAATTAAAGGCACCGGGGATCGAACTCAGGATGTTCGAGTATATTGATTCAAACGCGAGCTCTCCGACAATGTAATGAATGTGGCAATCAACATAGAAGAATAAATTTATATGCAAACTAGCGGACCGGACAGACGTTGTCCCGTACACACACACGGCTTAAATTCGAATATTTTAAACTTTTTTGAATAACTTTGTGAATCTAATCCATTCTTCTTCTTCTTCATCTAATTCATTTAATTTTCATTATTTAGTTCAGTGACATACACAAGTACAGAAGAATTATATATATATAAAGATATATGCTGCTTTTGTGAATCGATAAATAAATTGGTATTGCTCATTTACCTGTAAACGGTATGCAAGGTGGCGTCAAGTAAGCTCGCATAGTTCTCCGCCTCGTTGTAAAAGTTGGCGTGTTTGATGAGTAGTGGCAGAATCGAGTTGCCAATGTAGCGGTTCATCGAAAGCGCCATATCAGATTCGCAGCCGTCGTTCTGGTAAATGAAGGCATGGAATAATTCAGGAGTATATTTAATCCATTTTTGCATAATTGGGTAATATTCTCTTAAGCTAAATAAAATCAACTAAATAATGTGCATGATACGTAATTTAATATTTATATTCTCCAAAGTTTGATATAGAAATTTTAATGCGCCGAAATTAGATCTTTATTCGTGACAAGATGTGAGTAAAAAGCTGACTTATAAGAAACTAAGAAGACAAAAAGAATCTTTACCCGATCCAACATTGTGGCAGCCCTCAAATCTGGTAAAATGGCTTCTTCTAGAAGACGGTAGAACAACTCCTGGGACTCGATGCCGTAGACTCGCTCCAAGAACAAGCCGATGCTTTGTTTGTGGCCAGGGATGAGGCCAGAGGGCATGTCTATGACAAACAGTATTTTTCTTGAATGTTTAAAAGTATATAAATTATATTGCAGAAATTATCTTCGACGTATGTCCCTGAACAATGTAAAAGTAAAGATAAACGTGTTGATGTAATGGAGTTGCATAGTTAATAAAACCTTGTTTTAATCAAACTAAAAGAAAATTTGATGGTACTAAAGCCACCTTACTCGCCATCTTGTTTATGCTGGCAGCCTGAACTTTAAAATGATTTTCTTATTTCATTTCACACTGTGCTTATTTAATGGGTCAATAACTAATAGTATTTAAAACTAAAGTAAAGGAACACTGTACAGCCCTGAATTATAATTCTCTTTTGAATTATTAAATCTGTAAGTTTTGGCATCTGCATGTATATGATATAAACAAATGTTCTCTTTTCCAAGAATCCAAAACGCGTTGTTATTGCTAATCAACATTTTTGCACTTCTTTACAATAGCGCTAATTAGGCATTATCGTACCCTTTAAAAGTTTATTTACCTGATGTATCCTTATCAGTTAGTCGTCAAACGTCAACTGGTACACTCATCCTTTATTATTTAACACGAAAATTGTCTAAACTGCCTAAATTGCCTGACACATCTTTTGAAGAAGTAGCTGAAGCGTTTGTCCTGACGGAACACAGCCAGAGTAAGTGAGGAGTGGCTCGTGTGTCAAATGAGCCAGTCTCCTTAGTTTCTGATCTGGCAGAAGAAGATGCACATCGGAGAGTGATGATTGACTCATCGTCAGTATTTTGCTCAGAAATAGAACCCTCTCTAGGGTTCAAGTCAGACGGGAGCACAGAGAAACGCGAGGAGAGGCTGATAGCAGTTGGACAGTCAGAAGATTAAAGACAGCTAATATAACTTCAAAAAGTTACTGGTCCTAAGTTGACCCCAGCTCATCGAATGGGTTGCTGGGGTCAACTATGTTACAGTGGAGCTCTATTCTTTTCTCAGACGAAAGCAGATTGTGTCTCCATGGCAGCGATAATGAGTCTAAAGAAGAGCTCGAGAGCGATTGGTTCAGTGCATTAGTGAAAATATGGCATTTGATGGTGGTTCCTAGATAGCGTGGATCCGCCAATGCAATGGCCGTAAAAAACGAGTCGGTTTTCATCGAAACTAGCGGCAGATTTTGAGGTTTGACGGCGAGCCGAAGTATTGAAGAGATATTAGGGGATCAGGTAATTCCTTACGCAGGCTTTATCAGCGAAAACTTTGTGCTAATGTCTGAACATACCCGTCCATATACGGCAGCTTTTGTTCGGCGGCACGTGCAGGAGGTCGAAATTGAATGCAAGCAGTGGCCAGCATACAGTCTGAACTATTATTACTCCTATTATTTACTGGACGAGCTTAAGGAAAAAGTTTTTGCTAGAAATCCTGCGCAGTAGTTCGGTATACTGTAACTTACCTATGTGCATATATGAGTCTGTCAATATCGATTTCACTTACCAGATTTCGGACGCTCCTCTCCAGCGGCCGGGTTGTTCAAAGTGAACCTTAGACTGAGAACGCCTTGAAGGTCTTCCAGTGGCACGAGAGATCTCAAGATAGCTCGGGCGCGTAGAGATTCGTTTTTGCCCTGCGAATAGAAAAAGGCTTTACTAAAGATTAGACAAACATTAATAATAAGGACAATGCCAAGACATAAAGTTCCCTTAAGACTCTCTCTAAGCAATGTTTGTACCATGGGTGCTGAATAACCGATAAAAATACCCAGACATATTTTTTTTTGGTAAATAAATACATATCCTAAATATATAAAGTGATTCGGAAACTGGAAAAACACTATATTCATCACTCAATATTTTTCCAGTAGTGGGCATCGAAACCACACCTTTTGGCGCAAGAGGAAGGTTTTTTTAAATGAGAAGGTGGCAAACGAGCTGGCGGCCCACCTGGCGTTAAGTGATTACCGCCGCACATTAAAATTTACAACATGATACATTGCCACCTTTTAATAAAGTAGGCCTCGGCTCATCAAAGTAGTGTAACGCTTCCACTTCGCGCCGGTCTTCTACGAGGTCGTGTTCTCGGACGGACCTGCTCAATCGTGCAACAGAGAAGACTGTTGCGTAGCCCTACCATAGAACCTTCACAACCCACAAGGCGAATCGGGACGTCTAAGTCTTTCTTCATGTTAACCTATTAATTTGTTAACCTATTAAATTGTTTTAAGAAAAACTTTATAAAAAGGGTTATTATAATATATATGAATACATTAATGACAATGACCCCTGGGGATGAGTTGATCGCTCTCAAGCTATTTCTTAAAGAAAGAAAAAAAAAAACAATTGTATAATATTTTAATTTTTTTATGAAAATATGACAAAAAAGACCTGCGGGGTTTCTTTCGCCTGTTTCTTCTCCGCTAGAGGAACCGTTACGAAACGGTGGTACATTAAAAAATACTATCGATAGATGAAATGTTTGTTCCTTATGTCGATGATAAATGATTTGATTTTTTTCAACGTTTTGTGTAGCCCGTGTTCATGTGAATGATTAAAAGATAAAGAACAGTTTGAAAGTCTTACCAAGGCGATGACAGAGGCGTCGGGAGCGCAACGGCCCAGAAGGTCGACGAGGGTGCAGTAGAAGTTAAGGATAGCAGCACCAGTGTCGATATAGTCCTCGTCTTCGTCCGACTCCGGGAGAGGGTGGCTGAACTATGAAAAGAATTACCCGTCAAAATCGCTACTTGACCGTCTACGCAATATTTTGATATACAGGCTTGACAACAAACACACCAACCGCGCGATCTTTTATTTATGGAAGAACATTGCGTATTATAGTAACCTTATGACTTAGAGCTTTAAAATTTGAGTCAAGAATTCGAAAACAAGTTTTGCAGCATTATTATTGAGGAGACACACTCGTAAAAATACCTATGTCGGATCCGTAAAATTTTATAGCTCTAATTGAATTAATCACATCAATAAATCTAATGGACTTATATTGAACATTAAAATTTGTAGAAAAGGTACGAAAAGATTGTCGCCGCTGTGAAACGATATTCGAAATTGTTTGTATGCTGGAAAGGATATAACAACGGATGCGCCAAGCATTGTTTCAAATGCTAAAAAAACAATGTAGATAAAGGGCGTTAAGATTTTCCTCGGTGTGGCAATCAGCCGTTTAGCTCAGTGGCTAGAGCGTCAGGCCGCGAATGCCGAAGACTTGGGTTCGATTCCCACAGCGGCGGCAATCTTTTCGTACTTTTTCTACAAATTTTAATGTTCAATCTTAAGTGCAAAGTTTAGCACTGTAAAAAAAATTAAATGGACTTTTATTGAATACATTCCACCAAAATGCGGTGAAGGTATTCAACAGCTTTGCCGCAAATACGCAATTAGGTGAGGCAGTTGCGCGCGGAATTTGTCCAAGCCTTGTTACTGTGTTAATTAACTAAACTGGTCATTGTGCCCACTGGATATCACTCCCCGACTCATAAACATTATCTGTGAAAAAGATTTGCCGACCCGTTTTCTCATTGTGACGTCAAAGGACCGTTGATTACAATTGGGCATTCCGATTTCAATTATTTGAAAAAAATGTTTATAAACTCCTGTTATATTACTTGTTCTAAAAACAGTATAGCTATTATAGCTTTGCGCTCGTAATGTCAAATATTGAATATTGTGAAGATGAAATCACTGGTAGGACTGTATCATTAAAGAAAATTCAGTTGAGAACTTCAAAAAGATCTATAGATATTGTACCAACGATATTAACAATCCTGATCAAACCTTGATTTTTAGTCTGACTTATAAAACATAAAACAAATAAACGCGTTGTTTTATGGACACATAATAATTTACAAATATAATGAAGGGTTTATAACAGAATTCAGATAATGTTTATCAGAATCACAATAGCATAAAAGTAGCTCACATTAATATCTCCCTCCTGTTCCAAGTCCCTTAGTTTTCTTCTGTCAGCGATCCTCTCACTCATCTTGTTCGCATCCACGATGGCTTTGAGTAGACCCTCGCCCTCGCCTCTGAGGGCTGGTCCCAGGCATTCCGGTCTTCTGATCAGTAGACGGATCACCAGATTAGCGTTCTCCTCGACGCTTTCACCGTTGACCTAAGAAATTATAAAATTATTGCGTGGATTATGACTACTTTTTACAATTTACTATACAGCTGAAATTAAATAGCAATTAACTGACAAATGGTAAGAATGTGGATTATAACTAATAACTAGCTGCTGCCCACGACTACGTCTGCGTAGAATAGGCTGAAGGCGTAACATTCAGACAGAAAGACAGATATACATAAAAATATGTATATAAATTATAGTCCATGTGTTATTCCGATGTATAAGCTATATTATTGTAAAGTTTTATTAAAATCCATTCAGTAGTATTTGCGTGAAAGTGTAACAAACATCCATCCATACATACAAACTTTAGCGTTCATAATATTAGTAAGGATATAATGAGATTTTGTTTTCACTGCCTATTCTAGTTAAAAAGTACATTAGTAATATAATACATATTTAACAGATTGCACTGTTGCACTCATTAGCAAGATACTCGAGGAAGTACCAATGCCTCACAGCAGACCAATGTGAAGTATAAGATATTTCTGAATTTCGTCTGGCGAGTGAGGTGACCGGTAAATCTCATTGCGCTGATATATCTCCAAGGTTCAATAATACTAAAGAAGTTCATATTGAACCACATGAACACTAAAACGAAACCAAAGCGAAAATAGTTTTTAATGTCTGTTCATAAATGACGGATTTCTGAGGTAACAAACATAAAAAAAACATCCAAACGAAAAAGGTATTCAAGAACTAATACGATTGTCGTCCAAACTCCCTTTATCCCAAACTTACCCAAACACAGAAGCGCAAGAAGTCGAGATAGCGTTCACCTTCCACGGGGTCCCAACCGAGGTCCGGGTAGCCCTTCTCCACCAGCTCGGAATTGCTCTGCAGACCGCACCGAGACAGGTATACCGCAATCTTCTCAAGGTAGTGTTCACTAAAACATAAATGAATAAACAGTTTTAGTTATTTTTTTTAAAACAACAATATTCAAGACTTCAAGTTGAATTCTTGTAATTTAACGATCGATGTCAGCAAATTGTTCAATTGCTTACACCTCATGTATTTCATTAGTGTATAAACAAAATTTTTGTTATATGATTAATTGTTTAACAATTAATCATATAACAAAAATTTTGTCTTATAAAATAAGGTCTAATTAGGGTCACTAGAAATAGTTAATTTCACAATATAACAGTAATGCTGCCGTATTTTACGAGTTAAAATTGTCAAACGAGCAGACGGTTTACATGACATTAAGTAAACCGCCGTGCCGCCAGTGGACTCCTACAACACCTAAGAGTTTGCAGATGCGTTGACAACCTTTATAAGAAGTGAGCCCCAGTTAGCTCACTTACCAGGCGAAACGCGGAAGTATAATAATACTGCCACTTCACGCACGTCTTCTGTAAGGCCGCTATACTTCCCCGGACGAGCCTGAATATTCGTACAACAGCAGAATCTGTTGCGTGGCCCTACCACTTGTAACACCACCACATGTCGATGTCAAAAAGTTGTTCGATTATTGTATCGACGGCCGTCGGGATCTCGGTCCGAACCGGCGACCTCGACGGCCCTTAGATGACACACCATAGTAGTTAAACGCACGCATGAGCACATGCGCGACCCTACCCATAGCGGAGGGTCCAAACCCGTGGGTTCTGGCTAGCCCACCGGTTCTGCGTCCGATGAAGCTTTAATAGTCTCGGGACTGAAAGCAAAAACATCAGTTAATACAAGATACCAAGACACAAGATTATTGTATTTACATCATGTATATTACGTGTGTAAAGACAATTTTTTTGCAACTTAGTAAATACGATCTAAATAATATAAAATGGAAATACATTAAGTATTTATATTTGTTATCAATTAGATCGTATTTATTCATGATATAACATTCATGTTGCCGTATTTTCATTACGAGTTAATATTGCATGATTGCTTAGGAGCTTTGGATAAAAAACGTACGAAAAATGTTACTCCAGTCGGAACCAGATTTCAACGGTTATAAACAATACAATATTATCATGGATATTTATTGGAATAGGGATTTTATTCTTGTATTTTCTATTAACTGATGATATGCTCTCAGTCCCGAGACTATAAGAGCTTCATCGAAAGCAGAACCGGTGGGTTAGCCAAAACCCACGGGTTTGAGGTCCCCCACAGTTGGTAGGGCCACGCATGTGCTCATGCGTGCGTTAGCTAAGGAGTGTCGCCTACGGGCTATCGAGGTTCGGTGCAGAGGTTTTTTTTACCGCAACGCCAACGCCAGCTCGGTATTCTCCATGAGACTGGAGTAGGCGACGTCCAGCGGCGTGGAGCCGCGCAAAGAGGGCCTCGACAGCAGAATGTTCGAGTTCTCCAGCAGGAAGTCGAAGTGGTCGAACATCGCCTTCTGGTTCTGCCTGCCAGTGCGGCAGAAGTAGCAGAGGAAGCGGCAGCACGCCACCACCATTTCGTGGGACGTGTCCTGTGGGAGAGGCAAGTTTTGTTTAACCCTTTATTGTGATTTTAAGTGATACACATAACATAAAAAATATCGAGTAGTGGGGATTCGAGAGAGAGCTTCGATCCCTACTACTGGAAAATATATTACGTGAAGAATCATAGTGTTTTCCAATTGTCTGGGCGTTATAGACGACGGACATATTAACAGAGCATATGCAGAATTTGATTTTAAAATTAAATCTTGTACGTACTTGTGACCTCATTTTTTTCAGATTATTTTTAATTTTTTCAAATATTATGGACACCTTAAGAAATTTCTGCCTTATCGTCTCAATACAATAACCTATTCACGAGCACTAAAACTTTTCGCTGAACGCATAATTACTAAACCGCGTATCTATTTTATTCTTCTGGTTATTTTTTGTCAAAATAAAATATTAATATTTTTTTTGAATTATGGAACGCTCAATATACATTAAGTCAAAGTATGTACTTCGTCTAAAAAATCACCCTGTATATATTATAATGTTATAATGTTGTAATACATTTTTATACTTGTAATACACTTACCAAGTTTAGCTTAGTTTGGGACACGATGAGGTTGAGAAAGATATGTACATTACGAAAATATTTATTTATTTAGTACAAATCAACAGCGGCGCCCGCAATTATTACGCTACTAAGGTAAAAAGTTGCATGTTTGTTGAAATCTACCTTCTCTTTGCTGTCATCTGCCGCGGGCGGGTTGGCCGGTTGCGCGTCCGACTGCGCTTGCGCTCGCCTCCCTAGTGTGTTCATCATCACCGCCATCACGTTCTCGTGAACCCGGAGTACTCTGATTAACCAGACAACTTTGATCTATATCAGCTCTTCAATGCCTTTATACATATATTGTTAGATTTGTGTAAGGAGCTCAGGTTATTCTGGCAATAGTTCTGATGTAAACATGAATATCAATTCGCTTGATGGATAAATGCCTCTAAGAATATATATTTAAAAATAGTAGACGAATTTAAAATCATGGAGTATTCCTTTAAACCAATTGCCGAAACCATAACAAACAAATTAATATTAGGATAGGTTACTAATTTCAATTTCATCAGTTAAATATTACAAATTTAAAAGTTAAATTAATTATATTTTGTTTATTTGCGTTCATTATTTAGTCTATACAATGCATTATGCTTACTTTACGACTAAATACTTTCAATCTAATTTTAGAATAGAACACGTATAACCACTACCCCTACTGTGGTAGGGCCACGCAACAGTTTTCAATGTTGAACGACTGGCCAGGTCCGTTCGGGTTAGGACCACGACCTCACAGAAGACAAGCGTGAAGTAGAAGTGTTACACTTCTGCGTTTCGTCTGGTGACAACGCATCTGTAACCCAACGGGTATTGCAAATGTCCATGGGCAGCGGTTGCCGCTTAACATCACGTGAACTACCAGCTCGTTTGCCACTTTGTCACATAAAAAAAACTAAAAAAAACTAAGTCTTCCAACTCACCTTATCAAGTCTGGATGTTGGAAGAAGGTGTGGTTATTCACTAATTTCCTGTTATAAGAAAATAAAGTTGTATTAAATATGTTGTATGACTATGAAATTTATTTTAACTTTAAGACGAGTGGTCTGTGGTAGGGGCACTCAACAGCTTCTGCTGTTGCAAGAATGGGCAGGCGCGTCCGAAGCAATACGACGGCCTCACAGAAGACCGGCGTGAAACTGAGGTATTAAAATTTTGCATCTCATCTGGCGAGTGAGGTAACCGGGGCCCACTTTTTAAACATCTACAAGCCATCGGATGTCGAAGACGTCCATGGGCGGCGGTATTCACTTAAGATCAGGTGAACCGCTTACTCCATTGACAACTTATCACATCAAACTCTTGCTCTGCACTTGCAAGTCCCCTGGCTCCTGCTAAATTATTTAAAAAAAAATAGAAATAAAATATACATATATGACCGCAGAGTTTCTTGAACCGGTGGTAGTTTTTGACGTTCAATAAGACCTTAAAATAAGCCTATGTTGAATAAAGAAATTTTGACTTTGACTTTGACTTTGAAACGAACTATATCGAGTTTTCTTGAGATTTTATTAATAAGAATTAAATCACTTTCAGTGAAAAACGGAATACTGTGAAGCTTCTGGCAGCTTTTATTCACCAATTAATGGTACTTGCATACATATAAATAAATAAACGTCCACTTGAAATTTACGTTTGTTAAACGCTTTTACAACACAGGATAATCCTACAGAAAGGGTAATGTTAAAAAACATAAACACAATAAATTTTTTTAATAAGAATTATATCAGAGAAAAATGGAATACTGTGAAGTTTCTGGCAGCTTTTAATCATCAATTAATGGTACTTGTATACATATAAATAAATAAACGTCCACGTGAAATGTTTATTTGTAAAACGCTCTTACAATACAGGATAATGTTATCCAGGGTGACGTTTAAAAAAGCACAAACACAATTTAAAAATAAAAAAGCACTCACCAGAGCCTCTTCCTCATCAGCTCCTCCTCCTCCTGGCTCATCTGCACGGGCAGGAGGGCCCGGATCTGGCTCAGCCCCACCCACATCTCAGCCACGTCCAGCTTGGTCTTCGCGTTGATGACGTACGTCTTCTCCAACGCGCGTATCAGTTCGCCGATCGCGTCGTATTGCCTCACCAGAAGGCTGTTTATCGGGAATAGGGGATGGCAATTAGATACACTTAAACACAGTCTGCCGCTTGATCAATTTAAACGTGAAATTAAAAGTCAACTTATGGTTAAAGCATATTATACCATTACGGAATATCTCGACGAGGCTAATGTGTGGAGTTAATACTGTTGATACTCACGTAGGCTACAATAAGACTATTATACCTGTATGTTATATTGTAAACTGATATTGTGAGTTTCATGCCCGTCTCTTCTCAACAGAAACTGCTTTCCGAACCGGTGGTACCTTACGAACCTATATATATATATATATATTGGTCAAATTTTACACATATATATATATATATATGTAAAATTTGACGATTCATAAGAACGCGCAAGCGTCTATTTGAATAAATATATTTAATTGATTGATTGAAGAATATTAAAGTAAGTAATGTAACACGCCTATACACGCCCACTGCTGGGTAAAGGCCTCCTCTGTACAGAGGGCATTAGGGCATAGTCCATCACGTGGCCCCACTGCGATTGGCGGACTTCACGTATCACTGTGGTAGGGTCACGCAGCAGCCTCGGATGTTGTACAAATGGGCAAGCTCGTCCAGGTAAGTACCACGACCTCACAGAAGACCGGCGTAAAGTGGAAGTATAATACTTTCGCGTTTCGTCTGGTGAGTGAGGCGGCCAGAGCCGAATTTTCAAAAGTATGCCAACGCATCTGCAACCCTCGTGTGTAGCAGATGTCCATGGACGGCAGTATTCACTTAACATCAGGTGACCCGCCTGCTCGCTTGGCAACTTGTGACATAAAAAAAAAATCTATTTCGAAAAAATCCAGGTTTCCTCACGATGTTTTCCTTCACTGCTAAGCACGTGTAAGTCAGCACTTAAAAGAAACATCTCATTGGTGCCGGCGGTGGTGACACGGGGATAGAATTCAGGTTGCTCGAATTTATTTAATCAAAGGCGAGCGAGTTAAATAAAAATAACAGCTAATAATAACTCTCACAAATTTTGACCATAACGAACTGTAAGATTATTTACTCACAACTGGCGAGGCTTTAGAGGCAATAATCTACAGGAGTAAGAAATCAAAAGAAGGAAGGATATTTCATTCTTTTATGTAATGTTTTTACGAGTCTTGTCCCTTTTTTCTGCTAAAGCAATTTACCCAAACCGTAACAATGAAAAATATTTTATGGTTTCACATTGCTCACCTGAACATCTCCCTAACTAGCTTCGGCGTTTCAATCTGCGATTCTTCAGCCCAGTTGACGATGGTCTGTATCAAAACCTTGCGGAATTTCTCCTCTGGTGATTTCTTTGGTGGTTCTTCAATGGCCTGAAACGTAAGTTTATTGTTTTCATTTAATTTATTAACTCTCTAATAATCTATCTATCTAATATTTGTCTATAATTATATATTTAGCGCTGGATGCTTAGTAACGCCTCAAATCTATTTTTTTTAAAGATCTTCTTTATTTATCTTACATAAGCCCAGATTATAATACCCAAGATTCTTCAAAACGCATTCGTAATTAAACTAATATCAGGTGTATGCATCAATATCATTGGAGTTGCCATCGGGATTTGAACTAGGACTGCTCATATGTACCAAAAGGCAGTGAGAAAGATAGGATGACCAGAAGTGTATAACATAAATAACAAAATAAATGACAGTAGTACCTTTTGTTCCTCTTCTAGTTCTTTTACCGTATTAATAATGTTATACAATTTGCCAAAGGCTCCAGGCTTTGTCTCCGGCTCGGTCGATTCCTGAAAGAAGCATTAGTCATCGTTTATTTACTTTAACCACTGAGGTTAGACATTTAAAACCGTGTGTGATTTCAATTTTAATTTTCTTAGGCATTCTTTCGGTGACTGTTGATTTGCTATCTTGTTTTTTCAAATCGAGATTTAAATTGAATGAATAAAAAATGAGGCTAAGTAGCATGTTACGAGTAATGCTTCTCTGCGAGTGTTCTGTTTTATCGGTGAAGGTGCATAGTAATGATATTTTATTTATTTATTTATTTATAAACGCTTACCAACTAAATACATACAGAACATTGAAATGTAAATATGTTTAACTTAATACTAAAGTCGTAAACAATATATGTACATATTTAAATTACAGGTTAACACAACACTTACAAAACAAACTTGAAATATAGAACAGGAACCTAACTAAAAAAAAAAAAAAATCTTTTATCTCTGAGAATGCAATAAAAGCAATAGCTCACTTCAGAATCAGGCTCCTGGAGAGCGTTAAGCGATATGTGCGTCATCAAACTCTCGTGGAACTCGTTCATCCTGGCGATCAGGTCTTCACCGCATGGACAGTTTTCTTTGTCTTCGTCCTCCAAATGCTTGAAGCCTATGAGGAATATTCTTTTATTATGAATAGCGTCCCTTCATTTGTTCTTTGACTTGGGAATATTTAGTTTTTTATTTAAGGAAGAAGTTTTGCTATAATACAATTTTATAGGTTAGTATAAGAAAGAAGGACAATTTTGGCTTCTAATTCTTTTTCTTTCTTTTTAATTCTGTCTTATTTACTAATTCTAGATTGATTTAGACTAAAATCACTGTGGTAGAGCAATATCGACTTACAAATCAGATCCTGCACGAATAGACCACCTCAACGGGGAAGTAATAGGCTCACAAACTACCGTTTCCAGAAACCCACAGACTGGTTGTTAATACGCCTACAACAGCTATGATTTTGAAAAGTGCCCACTTTAGGCACGCGAACCACTTGCTTAGTTGCAAAAGCCATCCTTTAAAATAACGGTATCAAGGTCTTATTGTGAGTGCAAGATGTTTAACATCATTTTGTAACATAGATAGTGTTATAGTGCTAGAAACGTCAAGAATTAAAATAAATAAATCTTGTAAATATTAGATCAGTTGAGTATTGAAAAAAATAAAATTAAACTTGGTAGAATCCATAAAATTATTTCATCGACATGTTATTAGAGAGAATAATAATGACTAACAATGTAGTTTAGTTTTTAAGTTTTGTTTAACAGTTTAGTTACAGTTTCAATTCACGGACAAAATGAGATCAGTTTTACTTGACATAGTGTATATCGTATTGGAAATATGCATCCACCGTAAAATATTATTATTACTATTAAGCGAACCGCGTTTGTCTTTAAAGTAAATAAAATAATTTATATAAAGTTAATTTTATAGACTTACTTAATATTGCGTTCATTTGCTCTCTTGGAGGGCATCGGAACTCCCTAGTCTTCTTAGCTGCGACGGCACTAGGCAGGTCTGACTGCTTAATCTCTGTATAACGCCTGTAAAATTATATTTAAAAATTGACTCAATTAGGAGTATTTGGTGAAATCAGACCTTTGGTGTATGGGTACGAATGCGAGTTAACTGATTCTGTTAAACTTTGCAAATTGAAGTTTGAATAATAAGAAACATCGAAAAATGGCAAAGAAGAACGCGCACATCCGGTAAAACTGATTCTTTCAAACTTTGCAAATTGAGAGACTGAATAATTTCTTATTATTCAGTCTCCAATTTACAAAGTAAATTGAAAAATTTTAAAAAATACAAATAAAAACGCGCACATCCCGTAAAACTGGATTCTTTTGAACTTTGTACAATTCATATTGAACGACTAGAAATATTAAATGTCAAAAACAATTCTTAGTTCGATCAGGCAAAATTTCATCGTCCACCTCAATTGATCCGTCTGCAAATCGCCGACGAAGTCGTGTGCGAAGGCGATCGTCGACTCCACTCTGTGCCTCAGCTGAATGTCGTTCAGGTGATGCAGCAAGTAGCACATCTGCAGCTTCGCCCCCTCGGCCATCTTCATGTGGAGTAGGCCCTTCCGATGTTCGTCCTTGCCCTCTGCACAAACCGGGATGAATGTAGGGCGCATTTAAAACTGATGAATGTATATATAATTATGTGTTGGTAAGTATTTATCAATGAAAGGTGTTCTATGTTGAAGAATAACGGTTTCAGTCTACTTCGTTGACTTTAACTTGAACAAATTGTCAATCGATGGCATTAAAATTGAGAGTACTTCAATTACCTAGTGAAATTATCGTTCAAGGCTTACTGGTTTTCTATATGTGAAAAAAAAACCAGATTTGGCGAATATAATGAATATTCGCATAGTTTTTAATACATCCAATTTTATTTGCCAAATTAAGATAGTAATAGGAGTAATTTTAACTTCATCTAGTGATGAGTCTTACGTCCGATGATGATGATGATGATTCATCAGCCGTAAGACGTCCACTGTTGTACATAGGCCTTCCCTTTACGTAGGCCTAGCCCTTACAAAGACCTCCCCCTTTCATATTCCTCCCCCTTAAATTAATGACAGATCGGACTGAGATTAGACAAAAATTTCAACCAACAATAAAGGTAATGTTTTTATTAACTGAAAAAAAAAAAGATTCAAAGTTAACCTTTGTCGAAAGTAGGATCCCATGTCTCCGGGTTGATCATGATCATCAACTTCTCAACGTCCTCGTCTCGCATCATGCCAACAAGAAGAAGCCGATCCACCAACTTAATAAGAGGTCTGAAAATTGAATCAAAGAAGATTTTCACTGAGTTTGATAATAATCGTTGTAATTTAAATACCACAACTGAACACAACAACAAGTCAAGAGAGTTTGAGAATCTGTGCACTTTATTTACTAAATATACTAACATTATTGGAGTTTCGCTGATGCGAACGAAAGTGTGAATATAAATCTAATGATTAATATAAACATCAAAATAGGCCAGTCGCTATAAACGAACTATCAGCCCTTTATTGAACATTGAATTATTTACTGCATGACAATTAAGAATATCTCTTCTAGATATTTGATGTCTTGGGAAAAATGAAATTAATCTTTCTACCACAGCTTTTACTCATATATGAAGGCAAAGGTCTAGTTTGTACAGAGTCAAATCCGCTTCGTGCTCTCGTACGGAACGGACGTCTCTCTAAGACGGAGGGCACATGCCACCCGAATTAGACGCCACTCGCAACCTCGGTTGCAATTTAAATCTTGTGCAAATAGTGCAGTAGATTAGTGTTAGTGTAGTGTTGTGCTCGTAGGCAGGTTCCTGTTTTGTAAGTAGAATCCTACACACACTTCTCGCCTCAGAGGCGGCATTGTTTCATTTATTATTATTTACTGTGTGCTTGTTGCAATAGGCGACAGCTAGGTACCCACCCTAGCGCACCTAAAGCGCAGGCAAATTAGCTGTTATTTTTAGGCACACTCCTCCCTGCCGCAAGGTGGGGAGGCTTATTTAGCTCACACACGCCGGCGGGGCTACAAGCCCCAAAGGCCCTTACGTCGCGATGGGCTCCCTTTTCGAGGAGTTCGTACGCAGAGAATGCCCCGCTATGTGGGAACGTTATCTTGCCTATGCAGCCGAGCATAGGCAAGTAGCTGAACTCGCGCCGCCGCCATTGCCCGCGCCGTCTGCGTCCGTTACCCCGTCGCCCTCCGCGACCTTAGATGCCCCCGTCGCGTCGGCATCCGCTAACGCGAACCCGCCCGTAGCACCTTCCGTGCAACCAAACCCGACCTCTTTTCGCTCCGTCGTACCCGACTCACAATCGGACGGTGGATCGGACATGGAGGTCGAAACGACCCCCGCTGAAAACGCGAACGCCGACGGCTTCACCGTCGTTAAATCGCGTAAAAAGGGCAAGAAACGCCCTGCTACCGACAGCGACCCCGAATGCGAGGCCGCCTCAACGATCCGTCCAACCGCGACACCCGCTAAAAAGGCGGCCGCGGCGGCAAATCCGATGCCCGAATTCGCCTCCGAGCGAAAAATAAAGCCTCCTCCACCCATCATCATTCAGGAGAAGGCTAAGTGGCACCAAATTTGTTCGTGGTTTGAACGCCACAATATCCGCGACCCCCGGTCGAAAAATACACAAATGGGTATCCGCGTATACCTTGACACAACGGACGATTTCCGCCGCGTAACGAAATACTTGCGCGAAAATAAGATAGGTTTTCACACCTACTCGTTGCCCGAAGAACGAAAGCTTCGGGTAGTTATCAAGGGCGTCCCCAAAGAGTCGGATGTCGACAAGGCGAAAACCGACATCCGCACTCAGGGATACCCTGTGCATGCCGTCCGACGCCTCAGACACCCCAGAACCCGTGTCCCTATGGACATGGTGATGGTTGAACTTGACCCTACCCCGGAGGGTAAAGCCATCTTCAACCTGAAGAGGGTCTGTGGGCTCAGTGACTTAGTCATCGAGCCCCCGCGTAAGTCAGGTGTTGTGGCACAGTGCCACAACTGTCAGCATTTTGGCCACACGGCCAATAACTGCTTCGCTCACCCAAGGTGCGTCAAATGCACCGGTGACCACGGCACTACCGAGTGCACGCGGCCGAAAGATTGCGCAGATCCACCGGACTGCGTAAACTGTAACGCCACCGGCCACCCGGCTAGCTACAGAGGCTTTTTTTTTTTTTTTTTTTTTTAACTGGGAAAAATCCTTTATGGATCCCCGCTGCCTTGTGGGTAGGCAGCAGGGGGTATGTGGGAGTTACACGTACCCACTAAAAAACCCACGTTGCACCTGCGCTATCGCTTTGCCGGGGACACGGGAACACGAGAACGCAATCTTCCGCGAACCCCGGCGCGACTGTGGCCTTCTCAGGCCTCCTCTCTCCCCGGTCCAGCCAAATGGTGCCGTGTCGGTGCAATGAACACGGCACCCCTCTCAAGCCCTCCGCGGGGCAGCAGTTAGTCTCACATCTGCCGCCCCAGGGCTTGCTATCAGGGGGGAAGGTTGCGCGCGTAGGCCAGCCTCCTGCGCCCTGGTCTCCGGCGGCGGATTTCCAGGGTGGCAGTTGCCTCCCTTTCTCTCTCCGCGGCCTCCTTCCGGGTGATTATGTCCTCGCAGAATGCAAGGACGGCACCCCACGACCTCTCGCTGTCCACCATAGCGCGGACCACGGAAGGCAACGAGAGATCGTGCCCCACGATAGCTGTCAACTCTCGGCGCTGCTCCCGCCAGGCTGAGCACTCCTCCAGTGCGTGTTGGGCCGTCTCCTCGGCACATACGTCGCAGTGGTGGCAAACCGCTGTTGGCTCCCTCCCCGCCAAGCGGCACAGGTACCTCCCGAAACAGCCATGTCCCGAGAGAACCTGCGTCGCCCGGTAGGTAAGGGTGCCGTGACGCCTGTCCAGCCACCGACTGAGTACCGGACGTATGGCCTCTATGGTTCTTAGGCCGGCACTGGGGTGCTCCAGCCTCTGCTCCCACTCAGCAATAGCGAGTGAGCGCAACGTTAGTCTACACCCCCTCAACTCCTCTAAGGCCGGCAGGTGGCCCCGGGCTATCGCCTCCTCGCGCCAGAAGTGCAGCGACGCGAGGATACTGGCTTCTAGATCCCAGGGAAGGGAACCTGCCAGCACGCACGCCGCCTCACCGGATATCGTCCAGTAGCCCCGTATGGCCCGTACAGCCAACACCCTCTGCGGTCTGCGCAGAAGCATCAAAGTCCGGCGATTCAGGGTGTCGGCCCAGACGGGAGCACCATACAGGGCCATAGACCTTACAACCCCGGTGTATAGGCGGCGGCAAGAGTCGTTGGGGCCGCCAACGTTTGGGAGCAGCCTTCCGAGAGCTGCCGCTGCTCTCGCCACTTTTGAAGCTAGGCGCTCGAAGTGGGGAACAAAATTCCATCGGCGATCCAGGACTAGGCCAAGATACCTCATTGTCGGCTTGACGTCGACTCGGACGCCGCACACTATTATGTGGGCGTCCGCAGGTGGCGCATTCCGGGGCCCATAGAAACATAGGGCTTCGGATTTATTAAGCGCCACCTCTAGCCCCAGTCGCCGAATGCGTCCCACCACGTGCGCCACACTCGCGGTGGCGAGAATAGCCGCTCGGTGAAAATTGGCACCGCGGGCGGTGACAAGGGTGTCGTCAGCATAACAAGTTACCTCGACACCCCTGAGGTAGGCGCCGCGCAGCACCCAATCATAGCCTACGTTCCACAGGAGTGGCCCTAACACCGACCCCTGTGGAACTCCACACGTCACCTCTGTGGTCCCGTAGCCGTCTCGGCACGGGTACATCACACGTCGGTGCGACAGATAGGCCCCAATGATGCGGCGCAGGTAGAGAGGCACTCCATGGAACCGGAGCGCCTCCTTTATGCAAGCCCAGGGCAAGGTGTTAAAGGCATTGGCGATGTCAAGAGACACCGCCAAGACGACCTCACCCTGGGAAACCGCCTCCTGCACGAGGGACCTCAATCGCAGCACCGCGTGAATGGTTGACCGGCCCCTGCGGAACCCAAACTGTCTGTCCGCCAAATTCGGGCCGACGTGCTCCAGGTGCTTGACGATGCGGCTGGCGATCACTCTTTCGAAGAGCTTGCCTACATCGTCGAGAAGCACTATCGGCCGATAGGCGGACGGGGAGTCGGTTGGACGCCCTTCCTTCTGGACGAGGACGAGTCTGCCTGTCTTCCACCTCTGTGGGATAATGGCTTGAGCCAGACAGGCAGTAAACATCGCCCTCAGCCTGGGCTCCAGAGCGTCCTCAAGGGCCAGTACCCATGCTCGACCCGGGATGCCATCGGGACCCGGGGCAGTGCTCTTGGCTTTCATCTTTAAAAGAGCCGCACCGAACTCGCCCGGAGTCACCTCAGGCACTTTTATGTCCGGGTCAGCGTCATCCGTGTTTGGTGGAACCATCGTGGGTGACGTGTGGTACTCCCTCTGTGGAAATAAGGCCGCGGCGATCGCCGATACTAGTTGTGGCTGCAGGCTCTGTGTCAAAGGGGGGGCCCAGGGGCGAAGTTTATTCATCACCATCCTGTACGGCCGCCCCCAGGGATCACGGTCCAATGCAGCCAAGAACTCCTCCCTGGCAACGGCGATCGCGCGGCCTATCCCCACCTGCAAAGCCATCTTTGCCGATCTGAAGGAGGCGTACAGCTCAGCCTCCAATTCAGTGTCCCTGTGCCGTCTTCTGCGGCATCGGGTATACTGGCGTCTCGCGGTGACGCACGCTCTGCGCATTTGCGCAAGTTCTGCAGACCACCAGTATACCCGACGCTTGGGCGGGAGGTTCCTGGACCGGGACATCGACGCATCGCAAATCTGCGTCATCGCGTCCCTGAACCATTCCGCTTCCCTCTCGACATCTAAACTAGTGGGCACAGGAACCCAGGACTGTACTATTGACGCCTCCTTCAGGATTTCGTGGTTCAGGCTTCCAAGGCGCCACCTTGGGCCACTGCCTCTCGAAGTCCAGCTTGGGCTAGTCAAGGCATCCGACAGGGCGAGGAGATTGAACCGAATATACCGGTGATCCGATAGTGTCTCCTCACCAACAATCACCTTCCAGCCCCGAACGCGGCGTGCCAATGCAGGGCTTGCGAACGACACGTCCACTATAGAGCTGCCCTGCCATCGCACGCACGTGTCCACCGAACCTCTATTGAGGACAGACAGCCCGACCTCCAGGAGCCATTCCTCCAGTGCACCACCACGCGCGTCTGTTACAGGGGATCCCCACGCCGAAGACTTGGC